TGTGTTTGTTTATTTGTTTACAGGATTTTCACTGATCTTGATGGAGGGATGGGGCATGGGCCAGGAAAGAAATCATTAAATTTTGGAACAGATCCAGATCTTGAATCCGTATTTGTTCATTTTGTGCTAATCCCTTCTAATGAAAAATGGTGGGAAATGGTGCTGGAGCCAAACATGTAGTCCTGTTGTATTCAGCATTTTTAAAATGTCATTTATCTTGTACATAGCAAGTTTGTTAGTGGTACAAGTGTTTCCTTTATTAAGCCCACGTTAAGGTGTGGACTTGTATTTTTTAAAGAATTGATAGATTATTTTGTTATTGGCAGCTTTGTTTTATTAATTGCAAAAACTGGCTACCTGGCTACCAGGTAGCTACCAGGCTTATTTGTCTATGCTGAAGGTTACATTTGGAACCAAGAGTGCAGGATTTATTGAGGTGGGAACCAAATTTTAATTATGCGTAGGCCTGCTTGTCTGCTTGACTCACATGTGATTGGTTATATAGGAAGATAACGGATAGTTATTGTATCAGCGGTAACTGGTGCCCTTGGTATTTCATAGTAGAGTAGGAGATTTGAATGTGGTCTGCACTCAGTAACCCACGCTGTTGCAGCACCTGCAGTGTCTGTCTGACACTGACACTTTCCACTCAGAGAATCCAGTATCTCATTTTCTCTGACATTTTAGCTCCCAGAATTGGTCAGCTATGCTGTAACCCTCATCATCATTCTCATCCTCCTACTGTTTTTCCTGCGAGCCGAGAAACCCAGAGCCCAAAGATGTTGTCATTTCTCCATTGAGCCAGTCTGTGTTCAGTTTGCCACAAACTACAGGATGAGCTCATACTCTATTACTTATTCATGGACACCGTCACACAGGCTGACGCAACCACAGGCGGACACGCTGGCTATAAGGAGCTGGACAGGGATGGATGCAGACCTGGCTGGTAACAGACAGGCTAGCAGGCATTTACCAGTGACCAGTGAAGCAGGATGTCAGATAATGACAGAACAAAAACAAGCCATGCAAGTATCCTGCTGAGCAGCTGCTTATCTCTGTTGCTGTTGCTCATCTTGGCTGCATCTTTTTGGGCTAAATTTGCTGTTTGAAATACAAAAATGCTTGAAAATTGGCAGCTTGACACTTACTAATTGTCTGCACCACAGAGTTTTTTTAAAATGTGTTTCTCGCTGATGAATCTGGCATTAGGAAGCTCTTAATTCTGCCAGTCCATGTTTCACCCCGTCACAGTTTAGTTTTAACATGCTGGACTCCCTTTGTTTGTCTCAGTGGTTGCACTTAGTCAGCATACGTCTTTAACTGAAGGCTGTTCTTGGACTGCAGGCGCTGTCTTGTTTTCCATTTTTGAATCACTTTCTTCTCCCACATCACAATGGAAATATGACCCGGAGTCACGGGCTTCAGTGCTTCACTTAGTGTGGGCTTCAAGGACAGTGGTTGCATAAATTAAATAGCAAAAAGACTATGACTTAATGAGTGAATGCAAACAGGGTTATTGCTAATTTTCAGAGACATTTTTCAGCCCTCAGTTTTAGTTTCACAGAAATTTAAATTTTACACTAAACGGCTACATTTCTGAAACACATAATCAAATATTCAACAATATAAATATAGAAATCATAGAAGAATTATATACAAAGCAGTGACATCATGACCAAAATAAAACTCGTAGATAAATCCTGTGTCCTTCTCTTTCTATACATGATATTTTTGTCAGTGGGGGTTCAGCATCTTGCTCAAATGCTTACCAGCACAGGTGACCAAACCCTGGTCCTCAGTAATAGACATTGCTAAAAAAAAAATATATATATTTTTTGCCAGTATTGCTAATCTACTCACCCCTACTAACAAGTAGTCTCTATACTCACCCTCCACTTACACAATAAGGTGCCTAGAGTTTAAAAGCACCATGCTGCTCAGCAGTGCTGTTTAAAAGCCTCCCTGCTGTCTTTGTGTTTGAAGAAAATGATAACTGAACGAACAAGGAGGTCAGCTGTCTCACGCTGTCTCGTATTTCCCATGGTGACCCTTATTTGCTCCGGTCCAGGCCTTGGTTTGTGTTGACACAGGCACAGAAAGGCAGAGAGAAGCACACAGAGTGGTAGCTAGGGCACAACACTTGATGGATATCATGATTTCAGCGCCCACAGTTAAAAAGAATAGGACATTGGCTCATGTCCACCTTTTAGATTATGCTGTGTGAAACTGAGAACAGTCAACATACAGGCACTAATGAACCACACGTGTGTCACAATGCAGACATGGCTTGGGATCCATTTGTGTTTTTCATATATGAAAGCCAAAAAATTCCATGTATTATTTTTGTGTATTGCAGCTTGTTTTCAGCAACTTTATATCAATTTGTGATTATTTCTGAAAGTGGTGTTGTGTCTTGGTTGGCCTGAAGATCAGCATGTGGGCTTATAAACTGGGAAGATGAAAATTTGGAGAATTCAGGGTTAAGAAGAAAATGAGCGCCTCGTGCCCCTCCCATATTACTACCACTGTGGTGTCCTCAAACAAAGCATTTAAATGACCAGCAACCGCTGCACCGGGCGACAGATAAGACTGTTTGTGCTGGGCAGGTTCAAGGTGTGAATGTGTCCGAGTGTGAATCAGAGCGCTGCTGAAAACGAACAATTGTGCGTGGTGAACATACCCTGAATGAATAAAGTTTAAAAAAATTCTTTGGTGGGTTGGGCCTAAAGATTGCATACACTCAGACTTTGGGACTTTTTGCATTTTACCCCGTTCACTACTAATTTGTACACACTTTCATATCGCAGCAAGTGATTTTACAAAGCATGCAGGTTTCAGTTGACATCAACTTAAATGCCTTAAGACATAAACATAGTGAAAAGCATATTGCGAAACTGGTCATTTTTTGCTTTAGAAATGCTGCTCAGCAACAAAATGTCAGATGGTGTGTCCTTGAATTAACCAATATGGAGGTTAAAGAACAGTCCCTGCCAGCAACTGCATTAACCACACTGTGATAAGATAAGTTTGACCAAAAATGAAAGATGGTTATTTCAGTCAAAGTGCAAGTCTCTGCCTGACTGAATTTTCATTTCATCCAGTAATCTGGGAAAATGGTTCACAATAATTGAAGTTAGTAGGATAAAACATTAAAAAATACACTTTAGAAATACACATGGCTTTGTATGTTAGCATTTACATTGAGGCAGAGGATGTATTTTTACATAAAATGTGCTCACTGACGCTTAGAGGAATGAATGAAGTGATAAATTCATCATTTTGACCCTTTACCCTAAACTACATCAAATTCTGCCTGGAACACACACAGAACATGGTAGGAAGAGGGTGGAGTATGTTTGTTGTCAGTACAAATGGACATCTGACAACAAATATAATCCCTTGTGTGTGTGTGTGTTCAGGGAGCTATAAATGATCGTGTTCTTCCAGTTGAGCAGAGCCATTGTTGCCAGTCTAACCTGACGCAAACAATCTGACACCAAGAGCACAGAGATGTGTTGTTGTCATAAAGAATAAGTGATTCACTTAATCGCCATGTCACGATGCTGTTGCCAAATTAGAATGATTTTAAAAGTAGAAATAAAAATTACTTGAAATAAAACCACAGCATCACTTGAGCCCCATGGAAATGGCATTAACATTACACGGGGAGGTGGGGAATAAAAGGTTCTCTATGCTCCCCTGTAATTTAATTCATCGTCGTGGACAGGATTTTAACCAGGAAATTACAGGATATGCTCTGTAATAGATGTGGATATTCAGCAGGACAAATCCAAAAGAGAAAGACAAAAGTCTCCCCAAGGGGACACGAGAGTTGATAGGGAAGCGTGGAGGGAGAGATGTCAGGCAAAGATACTGTAGGGTGAGTCAAAGATACTTGCTGCAGAACTTGCTTAAGATTTATCTAATTTTTAAGTTTACTTCAGTCTCAAAGTAATCCAGTGATCTTTGTCTGTACATCCATGGGCATATTGCAAACAGGAACTGCTAATAGCTTAACTCGGCATACTTTTGATGGTGGCAATTCATCAAAATGTGAACAAATAAAGGCTAAAAACTGGGGCTCAAATGAGAGTACCAGTACCTACCAGTAGCTAACATTACAACAGGACATTTGATGATTTCTTGCTCTCCCGATTGCTTTAACAAAATGCCCTCTTATTGGTTCCCAAATAGGTCTACATGTTTCCATCTGTCAGTTTAGGAAAAGACAATACAAATTTCATACTGATCTGATAAAAAAAAAAAAAATAAATAGGACAAGCTGCTCTTCACATGGGAAAAAAACTCCTGATCAAAATGCCAATGATCTTGAAGTCTGAAGGGATGAAGGAGGAATAAGAGAGGGGAGGAGAGGAAAACAAATTTTTATTTTCAGTTTTTCCATGGCTTTTTTTTCCATCTTTTAGCATTTACATGTAATTTATGGAGATCATGAACTGTATCGGGGAAGCTCATTTTCCATCTTGGCGCTGTTTTGTCGTCATATTTATCTTGCTGTAATTTTGGCTGCTTTGTAATGTAAGTAATGCATGAGGTAAATGTGATGCTGCAGTTTGATTTATGCATGTGTGGGTTTAAAAATGGTATGATGTACGAGACATACGGCATGTGTGACAGTAAACACTTTTACTGCTGAGTCACTGGCAGGAGGACATGTGTATTTTATTTGTGTGAATGAGTGCAGAGTTATATTGAGGCAGACAGACAGCTGAGTCATGTAACCTTGAATTTTAATTCAATTTTCCATCCAGCTGTCAAATGTACCTCCATTTTACTTTTTACTCATTCATCTCAACTATCTGCTAAATCCCTTGTTGTTTTGAATCTGAAAAATGTGTTTCTGTGATGGTTTTTTTTTTTATTGTTGTTCTGCCAATTCAAAAGTATTCATATGAATTACAAGTATCTTTTTCTCTCTTTTGTCTTTCCTCCCCTCCTCTCTTCCTCTGCCCTTCACATTTTTTTCTTCCCCTCTTCAGGACCAGTTTGAGAATCTGGACAAACACACTCAGTGGGGGATCGATTTTCTGGAGCGCTACGCGAAGTTTGTGAAGGAGAGACTGGACATTGAGCAGAACTACGCCAAGCAGCTACGGTACATGCACACATACACACACAAAACGGCAACAAATACACCTCAGCAGGTATACTAACATTCAATGGAAGGTCCTTTGATACAAGGGTGAAATTGACATTTTCTTGCATGACACAGCTGCATAGTAGACATTATTGAATTGTGCTACATCGTGCTTTATTTAAATGATGCCTGTCATTTTTTTTATATGTTTTGACCAGGACAGACCACGTATGTTGGGATCTGACTACACCAATATTTGTGTCTTTTTGAGATGTGTCAGATCAGGCAGTCATAGTCACAAATAAAGATAAAGAGACACATTAAACTGCTGACCAATCATAACTTTACTGTGTTCATTGACTTGTGTGCCTTTGTGTGATTGAGACAGACTTTACTGTTCCTCATGACAGCACCAACGGCAGATATTAACATATGTAAACAAGGTTTTATGAATGGAAGTGAACCTCAAACCATTCAGTGACACACAGTGAAGGAGGACTCTTTCCCACTTGCCAGAAAAGAAGAGTGTGTCAATACATAACATACGAGTACATGTGTGTGTAGAGGGGGATGTCTCACCTACAGGTCTGATGAATTTGGTATAATCTGTGATTGACAAAATGGTTACAGGCTTGCTCAAATGAACACAAAAAAACAAAAAAAAAACCCACAGTTTCTTGTGCATGTAAGAAGGCGTTGTGCTGTTATCAGTCAACGTCACAAGCACCTCATAGAGTCAGTCAAAAAAAGGGGAGACAAGGCAAAAAAAAAAATCAGACATGCTAGTTTTGGTGTAACCAAAGCTGCATTTGGGATGTTGTGAAGCATCCCAAATGCAGCTTGGGTTGCCTTCCATGACATAATACAAGTTACAAAACAAGCCCAGTGCTTATTTTTGCTCCAGGTTGGGTCTTTATTAGGCTGGTATCTAAATGGTGTTCTATCAACAAGTTACTCATGGAATTAACGTTAACTAGCAATAGTTGATAAGACCTGCTGGCGATAAGGGTATTTCAGCCAATACCAATGTTTTAAAAAAAAAAAAAAAAAAGAAGTTCAGATTGGCCTCAATACCGATCCTCAGGATTTGCTTGGAACATCCCTACGAAAATGTTGAAATAAAGGCAAAGTGTCTAGTAATGTATTTGTTTATTGTTAGTTGCAATGCTTGTTAAAAGTACTCAACAAGCACAAATCTAGAAATCATTACAAACCAATAGAGTCCCAGTGGTGACTGATGTGTGATATCAAAGAGGGGAAATCCCTTCAGAATACACACACACACACACACATCTCAACTATCAACTACACCTACACACACACAAAGCTGCAGGTCTGAAGAATGATCAAAGATACAACGCTGTGTCTTTGTGTTACAGTGTGCATGTTTTTATGTTATATGTGGGTCAGACCATAAATCAGGCCGAAGGGCTCCTGCTTTTGTCATTTATAACAAGAGAACTGACACTCACAGACACACGCACACACACGCACATTTTCACACACATACATTCTTCTGCTCTCTAGTTAAATCATTAACTTCGCTGCAGTCGGTATTGTCAGGGCCTGAGGGAATAGACAGGCGTAGGCTTTGATGTTTAAAGCTTTGATTTATCTTTAATAATATACTGAGATTTTCTCTCTTTCTATGTGTGTGTGTGTGGGTGGGTGTATGGGTGTGTGCACCTGTCTGACTGCCTTCCTCTTCTGTCTGTTCACCTTTCTCTACCATGCTTACAATATCAGACAGTATTTTTAACCTCTACGTCTGCTTCTCTCTTTCGCATTAGGAACCTGGTAAAGAAATACTGTCCAAAACGCTCCAAGGATGAGGAGCCGAGGTGAGTGGAGTCAATGGATTTGTTCTATTTCTCCTGAGTCATTCTGCTTTTCTTTACTCCTCGGACGTTTGCAGACTGTAAAGGCAGAAAAGGCTTGCTAGACACTGTTTTTTTCCGTCTAGAGCTGGAAATAATGGTTGACACTGGGGTTTTTTGATGTGGTTTCACAAACTCTGTCTGTCTGCAAATTTACCAATTTAAGAGTTTAATTGGTCTTATGACAAAAGGGCACTGAGGAAGTGTTTTAGGCAACTCAGGAAACACTTTATTTTAATAGCACATTTCAGACACCACAATAACTCCAGGCCATTTGCTTTAACTAATATTCTATACAACAGGACAGCAGACATATAAATAAAGTAAGACCAAATATCTAATGTGGCAGGTCCACTCTCCTGCCATTAACCTCACTGACGCAGATGTGTCATGGTGATATTGACACCCACTTTTTGACCGACCAAAAAAAGTACACTATTATAGTGAAGCGCTCGGTATAATAAAAGCTTCACTTCAGTTATTCTTTATCTGCATCATCTGCAAAATACTTAAGTTCAAATGCCTTTTTAACTTGATATGATACAGTTCTCCTGCAAATCCTCTGAAAATGTTGAAATGAAAACAGTGTGACTGATTGTTTGTTTTTAGAAAGGAGTCGGCAGCTTGGAAAAATAATAGTTTCATTGTGTCATCATAGAAATAAGAAACCATAATGTTTTTAGCAATGTAGAAACATCTTTTTTGGGATTGCTAAACTTTTTAAACAAATTACAAATTTTTTGGAGGAACATAAAATGGAAGAGTTGCACTTTATTCAGTCATATTTTAAAAAAAATATCACATTATAGACCACACATAGTTTGTTCAGAAATTACACTTTAGATATTTGTTTGTCATTCAGCCTCTCGTCTTTTTTGGTCTCTTGAAAATAAAATCTGGCAGCAGACCAGAGAGGAAGCATGTTGTGTGCAGTGTTAAACACTTTTCATCTGTGTCTATTGTGCAGGTTCACATCATGTCTGTCGTTCTACTCCATACTGAATGAACTCAATGACTATGCTGGTCAGAGGGAGGTGGTGGCGGAGGACATGGCTCACAAGGTGTATGGAGAGCTGATGAGGTACAGCCAAGACCTCAAAGCTGAGAGGAAGCATGTGAGTACACCAGACTCTCTGCATGTTATTGAATAAAAAGTTTTATTTTCATCGTTTTCAGTGTATCTATTGGTAATTAATACAACGTTCCCCAGAAAACCTGTTGCTTCCTGTCATAAAACGGATGTAGCTGTCTTCCCTCTGTATCCTCTGTGCCTAATATGCATTTATTTTCTGTTTGGCTTCACTCGAGGATGAATATGTTGGATGTGATGTTAACCATCTGTCTTTTACTTCATCCACCATCTGCTGATGCTATAAACTGAAAATCTGAGATCCACATGCTTTAGAAGAAAAGCGCCTTCCTATTGTTTTATTCTAAAAAACATCAAATATCTAATTAAATTTCACTTGATAAAAGGCACAAAATATGTGCTGTTGTTCCCAGTTATGGTCTTTTTGTTTATGTTTGTCATACTGATGTCTTTAAATTATAATAGTAGTATAATTTTTTTTATTTATTTATTTCTAATGACAAACGACTTCATATACAACATTTTGGAAAATATTATAAGAGTTCCACAGGCAACCATCTACATGCAGATGCTAAAATTAAAGGTTGCTGGTTTGATGCCTGGCAGTGATGGGTGGTGTGCTATTCAGAGGGGCGCTGAGCCTTGCTTGTAAAGGCATGAAGAAACAAATCCCATTTAATAGTTGTATAATAACGCCATCTCAGTGTCAGTGTCTCAAATCTCTGTGTAAAAAATAAAATAAAAGCAATCATCCAACAAAAAAAAAAAAAAAATCAAAAATTGGCAAATTGCTGCATACCACAAATATTAGATCACAGAGGGAAGGTACTCCTCTCCCTCAACCCCGGCAACAAAATTAAAAAAAGAATAATTTTTTAGGCAAAAAAAAAAATTCTTGACCTTGTAGATAGGAGTTTGTCATTTTACAGGAGCCTTTAACCACATCACATGGTCTTTATGAGCAGATGGTGTTTGCTCAGTTGTTATGGAGATGAACTCTTTACATGCGAGGTCAGTAGCTGTTATGATTTCATTAAGTCCATAGCACTTCCCCTCAGTGTTGGTGTAAAGGTTTGGTATAAAACCACATTCTTGACCCAGTCAAGGTCCACTTACCAGCCTTTTCCTGACGTTTAACCACGTCACATGGTCGTCATCAGCTCATAACAACAGATCCATCTCCATGACAATGGAGCAAACTCCATCCACTGATTTAAAACCTTTAGAGGGACCTTGAGTTTAGATTGTTTGGTCAAATGATATATATTTTTTCAAACATTTGATATGAAATGTGTCGTCTTTTAACTACTTGCTAAATGCAGACCTTTCTCTTCGGCTGGCTTCTGTAATAAGTAGCTGGTTTGCAGTGTAATTCAATCTCAGTTTGTTATTTTACTGCTTTAGTCACTTGACTCTTGTAAATCTGTGGCTGTGGCCTCAGCATTTTTCCTTCCATTGAATTGTTATTGTGTATGTGGCACAAATTGTTTCAGTCCTATCATTTGTGTATATGCATATGAATGTTTTTTTTTATATATATTTACATGTATTTTCCTGTGTTTCTGTGTAAATGTCTCTCGTTTCTATGTGTATCTTTGTGTGTATGTGTTTGTGTGGGTGTGGAAATGAGCAGCATCTACAGGAGGGCAGGAAGGCCCAGCAGTATTTGGATCATTGCTGGAAACAGATGGACAATGTAAGTGAGGAGGGAGGGAGGGAAAAGGAGGAGGGTTGGAGGGGAAAGTGAAAAGTGTTTAGTGGAAATATTCTCTGTAAGGGACAGACAGCTGCACTCATTTCATACTTGTTTGCACGAGGAATGCAAGAAATGCTAACAAAGGTAACTGCAGGACAAATGGGGATCCACTTCTCGCCCCAATTCCACACATACCATTATTTAGTGAAGACACAAATATGGCATTTCTTGTACTTGCATTTGTGTTTTTATATTAGAAATGAGTGTTATAGGCTCTGTCCAAATTAATGTAAAATTTGAAGTTAAAACGTTTGTTTCTGACTGTGAAAAGACAGCAGTGTCCTTTTCTTCTCCCTGGCAATCTTCCCGGTCTACAGGGACCAAGGACAGGGGCCAGGACCAGGAAACACACACACACACACACACACACACACACACACACACACACACACACACACCCCAGTGTAGGCCAGCTCCTCCCAAGTCAAAGCAAGGCCCATGTGCCACATTTGGCCCATGACAACCTTCTTTTTGGCTCCCAAATGGCTCCAGAGAGAGATTCCATTTGTTCACTTCTGAGGTCATTTAATTGCGTTTGCTGAGTTATTTTATAACAATCTGCTCATTACAAGACCTCTAATTAACCACCACAGTTCCATAAGAGGTAAAAAGCAAATTGCTGTTTGTTAAATTTATGCATAATACATGTCCGGTCACATTTTCTGGCCTGTAGCCCATTAGTTGAGTTGCTTTACTGCGGCACATCTGATTGAGAGTGTTTCAGTGTGTGGTCTGCATGACTTTAATAGTGACTACCTAGTGACTGGACTGTAATGTCTCAGCTATTCACTGTGTTTCCTTCTCTACTAATGTAACCCAGATGGGCTGGCAGGAAGTAAACTATCTCTCTCTCTCTCTGATTCATCTCCCTCTTTGGCTCTTTTACCTCCCATTCACATATTTTTTTAGTTTTATTCTCTCAGAACTCTTTGAATATGACAAAATAAAGAGATGATACATTGCGATGAAGAGGTTATTCTGTATAATCTTTATCTTTCTTTATTCTTTTAACATTGAAACTTCCTTCCTTTTTGTTTATTTATTTATTCTTTTTAGAGTAAAAGGAAGTTTGAGAGAGAGTGTAAGGAAGCAGAGAAATCCCAGGTGACCTACGACCGGTTAGATAATGACATCAATGCCACCAAATCAGAAGTGGAGAAGGTAGGAAGCGCCCACCTGCAACACAGCTGCTGTAAATGTGGTGTTCATCTCTAAGTCTGTGTGATAAATTGTCCTCAGCTTCTCTCTCTCTTTTTTTTTTTTAATGATTTAATCATTAAAAATATTGGCATGTTGACTCAGTGTGCAGTATGAGCCATAGCTACATTTTTTGACATGAAATCCATGTTGAAAGTTTTATAATTCACTAACAAAATAATTACAGTACCTTCGTCTCACTATCCTCATACCTAGTATTTTGGTTTACTTAAAGTTAGTAGTGTGTAATTGGTGCCTATGAAATTACACTGTTGCTCTTCTATTTCCCACACACTTACTATATAATTAGACCTGGTGAATAAAGTTAAATGTTGAGGGAAAATAAACAGTAAAGTCACAAAATCCAGCCCAGTAAGCCTTGTTTTTAGATGAGCCACTGTGCATATAACAATTTTTTAGCAAACACATTTTTAACTGAATAACTGTGGAGCTATGGAAATAAGAGGAAGTGTATTCGAGATGTTTACCCCCAATGTTCATATTCATACAGGTTGTTCAATACATCCTGTAATCTCCCTAACGGCTACCATGTAAAATGTTCTTAATTTTTTTTTACAGACTTTGTTGTGTGGTCAGAGTAGACAGAGATGTAGTTGTTGTGAATCTAATGTTTGTACTGATCTAATTGTTCAGGCCAAAGCCCAGTTCTACCTGCGGACTCACATGGCTGATGAGAGTAAGAACGAGTATGCTGCTCAGCTCCAGAACTTCAACGCAGAGCAGTGGAAACATTTCAACAACGCCATACCACACATCTTCAAGGTAGACCAAACATGGTAGTCTGTAGCCTCATATTAATGCTTCACATGAGTTTACTTTGTATTACAGTCTTAACTCAGGTTATCTGTAGGTCTTGAAAAATTTGAAAAGCAAAAAAGCAATAAATATTTTTTGTAGTCTGCCAGTAGACAGTAATGTTACTTATAGAATGTTGTTTAATCTGATTTTCCCCAGTTCTGTTGTTGCAGACCTCTGACCTTTTTATATAAAATTCATATATGGACCTTAAATAAATCCCTTTGTTTTTTTTGTTTTTTAAATGGGTTAATCTTTCCTTCCGTTGTTCAATTTTCTGCTGCTTATCCAGGCCCAGGTTGCATTTGACTATTAATTATGATATTGTTAAGAATTATTGTTATATACAGTTTTGGAACACTGAAAATGTGATATACATATCAAGAAATGAATATACTAAATTTTCCCTGCTGGTTTTCACTGATGTCTATGGTGGGTATGATTGTGGAACAGGTATTAAATTGAATTCTACATAGTAACAGTCTTGAAAAGTCTGTAGTTGTTCAGTTTGGTTAAAGAGGTTTTTTTTTTTTTTTTTTTAATTTGTTCAATTATTTCTGGCTTATAATGAAATTTTTGCAAATAACAATTGAATTCAATGAACAAAACTGAGTAAATGATCAACAATATGTGATGCCATTCTTTTTCTTACACAACAGGAATAATAATAATAAAAATACTACCTATTAAATAGGCTTAGAATTTTTGCTCAGAAGCTAAAAAATAAAAGTGATGGTTTGTTTCTTAACCTTTGATACATGTTGTCTCAGATATCTAAACAGCACCAGTAGCACTGAAGCTTTTATAATAATTAACTTCACACCAACAGACTGGTGGTTATGTATTTTGGCATTGCTCAATTAAACCAGTATCATGTTTAGAGAAAGTGTAGCATCCTGTGCAAATGTTAAACGTAGTGGCATCAGAGATGTGGCATCAGCGCTCTCCAGGGAAGGGATCTGATCACTCTGACAAGTGGTTTAACCACCTAGAGGCGTGTAAAAGTGTCTGTTGTTTAATCCTTTTCCTCTGCTGTCTGTTTCAGAATCTGCAGGACATGGACGAGCGTCGGACGGTGAAGCTCGGCGAGACGTACCGGAGCTTTGCTGAGGCGGAGCGCAGAGTCATTCCCATCATCTCCAAATGTCTAGAAGGAATGGTTTCTGCTGCCAAAGCTGTCGACGAGCGAAGGGTATGTGGCAGAGTCGGGGAAGGAGTGAAGGAGAAAGAAAAATGTTCTGATGAAATAAGCTGATACTAAACGTAGGGGAGGGATGGAGAGAAGGAAGAGAAGACAGCTGGGTGTTGATAGGTCAACCTTTTTTCATTTTTCTTTTTTATCTCCCACCCCTCGTTCGGCCCTCTGTCCCTTCTTCCCAGGACTCATCCATTGTCGTGGAATCATTTAAGTCCGGCTTTGATCCTCCGGGCGACTTCCCCTTCGAGGACTTCAGTCAGAACCTGAGCAGAACGGGTTCAGACGGGACCATCAGCAACACACCCAAAGCAGACAGAGATGGGGCCCCGGCACCACGGTCCGACCCAAAACACCCTATGAGCAGAACCAAGAACAAGCTTTGGCTGTTTGGGAAGAAACCAAAGGTACAAAGAGTTAATGATGCTCGTTGTAGTTTCAAATCAATGTTGCATGTTCCTCTAATGCAGCAACATTCATTATGCATATAGTGTAGTATATTTATATTTAAACATAGTATATATTACTTCTCTTAATGACAAAATACTGACAAAAATGTGATTATAGTTGTGATGTGATCAGTTGTCAGTGTGAATCAACTTATTACATGAGTTTTCTCAAATCAAATATTGATTTCCTTCAAAATAATGACAACTGTTTATTTAAAAAAAAAAACTAAACTCACTTAAACTAGTGAAACAAGTGGGATTTCCTTAACTTGTACATATTTATTTACTTAATTCACCCATATTTTCATACAACCACACTTATGAAAGAACATATGAAGGTAACCTATTCATAAACATACATAGACTGCTTGTAATAAGTCATTTGCAGTTATATCTACACATTATTTCATACGCCCTGATGTTGTTTATTAGTATACATAATATGTTAAAATAAATATGGCCAATAATGAATAATATCTGGTTGGAAATCCTTATAAGAGCTCTACATACTGCAATGCAGATGTAACAGTCAGAGAAAGTGCCTTTGACCTTTTATTCTTTAAACAAGGACTGACATGAACATTAGTTCATTTCCCCAGTAAAATAAGCTGTTAAAGTTAAAAAAGCACCAGTGTGCACTTCCTCATAGACTTATTATAGTTAGTGCTACAGCTACATTAGGTAATAAATCCCCACCCTGCAGCTGAGCATCATACAACTTTATTAGTCACATCCTTTTCTTTTCCATCCCTGCCCTCTGCAGTTGATTTTCTCCCACAAGGAAAACAACGTTACCAAAGTTTCAAATACTATTAATGTTATTTCCCTCTAGACTTTCACTTTCTCCACGCTCCGTGTGTTTTATCACCAGGTCTCGAGTTAAAGGTTTTTGTCACCTTTCCATTGTTTGTAATAGCACAACACTCTTTCATATCTTTCCTCTGATACACTCTTTGGACCTTGCCCCTCTCCTTACAGACCATGTTGGGTAATCATTACCTATCTGCTGTTGGTTTATGTTGGTGGCGTCAGCTGCCTCACTGTATCAGAAACCCGTGCAATGGTTAGGGTGTGTGTTTGTGTATATGGGATAGTTTAATTGTTTAACACACTGTGACCTACATTTCTAGAGCTGTGGAAGTTGAAATCTCATGATCTTAGACCTTATGTCTTAGTTCTCCATTACATTAAATATCTATAGCAAAATAAGCAATAATAAAAGCAAGAAAATCAGCAGGTTTATTAAGAGTTTAACATTCAAAATTTCCCATATACCTGTGGTATACTGTGGTATAGGCTGATGAAAAGGTTTTTTTCACTATAATTGTGGTTTAAGTGATGTGACGTGAATTAGAGACAAACCAGCTGACTTCCTGTTGGCTCCCTGCGCAGATGAATGGCATAAAATAATGTGCTAAGAATTTTCACATTTTATTGGACCAAATGTATCAAATTTTTTCAGGCCATCTGTGATGCTCAGAAAAATTTACAAGACTGACTTTAGTCACTATGCTGCTCCTTGGGGGCTTGGGATCAACAGTAAAACAGCTTGAATGAGTCACTTGGGAAATCATCAAGGTGCTCTCACTTAATGAGGGAAAATCATACAAGTCTTACAGCCATTTTATATTCAAGCAAGTCATCTGGCATCGTGGCTTAAGACATGCAAAAAAATCTGCCTACGGTATAGAATAATAACAGCTGTCAGGGTGAATGAAATTATTTCCTGAATTCATTCTTGATTTGAGCATCATCACTGATAGCTGTGAAGTGGTCTGTCATGTTGCTATTTTAAATATTGACAACTGTTTCAGAAAGAAACCCTGAAACAAGTGAAACTTGACGGGAAATGAGCAGGATTCTTTACTCTGGTGGCAAAATTATTCATAAAAGAGAGAATATGAGATTAGATTGGTAAAATAGATCATTTATTTGCTTTTTGCATTTTGTAAGAAATTAGCAGTTAAAAAAGAAAAAGAAAATGAAATGTAATGAAACTTTCCACGTGTTTTTCTATATTCTAGGCACTTTCACTTGCTATAGGTGACCATGACTGACTTTCTCCCCCAGAGCTAAAAAACACCTTTAAAAGAGAAAAACTTTTCATAACGCAACACAAATCCAAAGTATTTGTCGTCCTGACCTCTGACTTTGTCGTCTCTTCCTCCTCCCCCACCAGTCCCCTTCCTCCTCTCCTCCTCCACCTCCTTCCTCCTCCTCCCGTACCCGGCCCAGCTCCCACCTATTCCCTCCACCTCGGTTCAGTTCTGACCTTGTGAGCCACTATCTCTCTGAGATAAAGACTACAGTACCCAGAATCCCCCAGAATTTGAGGGTCCTGAGGAGAGGGGTGAGACAGGAAGTAGAATTGCAGTGTGTTTGATTGAGACAGGTTGATGTGATTTTGTTTTTTTTACTTTTTCTACACAGTGTCTGCAGGTCATGAAATAGTATCTGAATTTCATCTAAGATCAATGCATTAAATGACCATAAATATTATATTTTCAGTATTTTTTTTCTATTTTACACTCAAGTTTTATGTTTTAAAGGTGTAGTTGTTCTTACGAAGCTATTATTCTGGGGACAGGCCAGATTCCTGCTCTCATTGGTCTGATTTGATATATTTTCAAAGTTTTACTTGATGAAACTTGCAGACACTGTTAAAATGTTTCTCTTGCTCATTCCTTCTTTTTTCTGTTATTTTCTTTCTTGGTTTGTCTCTTTTTCACCTTCTCTCCTATTTCTTTTGTTTTTGTGATTTTTTTTTTTTCTCTCCTTTAATTTATAAGACAGATCTTTGCTCCAATCATAAGATGGAGGATCCTTGGTGATTCATGGTGTGTCGTGTGTGTGTGTGAGGGATTTGGAGGGTTTTCTGCATCATGGTTGCTGTGTTGTGTGGGGAAAATGGGCTGAAAATGTGTTACCAACATCAGGTGTATTGCCCTGATGTTGTTCTGAGTTTGCAGTGATGTGTGTGTGTGTGTGTGTGTGTGTGTGTGTGTGTGTGGGTGTGTGTGTGAGCCGCGGTGGCTCTGCTAACAGTGTCAGTATGCTGTGAAGCAGAGCTTTCTGCTTTCAGACAGTTCGACACAAACTTGTAAATAACACCCGGCCTCAGCGTCAAGCCAACGCTCTAGCTGGCTTCTTCTCCCATCAGTTGTATCAGAAACCATCTGTGATTGGCTGGTTTTCAACCAACTGCTGGTTTGATTACAGTCAGAGGAAACCAGGGAATTTGATGAAGTGTGTTGGAAGTCAATTAAAGGTGCCCTGTAGAGATTTCTTGTAAACAAACATGACATGGATGCACTTGTTTGCATGTTGCTGACATCGACTGTCAATAAGCAGAATAGTATGAACCCAGCAGCAGTGTTATTTGTGCACATGTGTTCTTGCATGATGCAAGAAATGGGATCAAGTTGTAAAATCATTGCTCTAGTATTCAGAAACTCCACAGGGCACCTTTAGAAATTGGCATTTAAAAGGAACATACAGGGATTCATTTTTTGCATTAGTTCATGTACATTTAATGACAAGTAACTGTCATTTAGTTAAACTTGCACCATTGAACTTATTATTAATATACATAACCTGTTGGAGAATATCCAGACTAGCCTCCTGGTGTACAATAAATTACTTTAGATTTTTACCTTTTTAGGGTCACACTGAGAACACGTATTGATCTCATTGGTTTTCATGCTGACCAACTGACTTGCGGGTCGACTGACAAGTCTTTGACTGGCTGACTGTTTGACATACTGACAACTAACCAGCATCCCATGTCGTTTGTCTCTTTTTACTGTAATGGCCAATGCATCAGTGGTCAATAAAGATGGTAAGTGAGTGAGTGTGTGTGTAAAGAGTAGTTATGAGAACACCCAGCAGTGTAGGCGCTCGTGCATGTAACGTCACCTTGTAGGACTTCCCATAGCATCCAATATATGAACCCAGTAGTGATAGATAACTATTTTTCCACTCACAGGTAGAACAGCTGCCCTGCTTTCTGTCCTATAATATTCACCTAACTACAGTTGTTTTACCCCCACCTATAGAGTTCCCCAGTTTTAGAGCCACAGGTTTGCCCAAGTGTTAAAGCATTGTTTTTGAAAATTGGGTGAATTTTTTTTTTTTTTGCTGCAAAATTCAAAGTTTTTAAAGCAACAAGGACAAATAAAAATTGGAAGCTTATGAAAATTTTAAATAATGTTTGGATCCCTCCTGGACAAACAAGGACAGACAATATCAAGTCCAAGTTACATATTGAAAATGTGTTTATTCCCACGTCTTGAAATTGGCAAAACAATCTCACGACAACTGCTGTTATGTTAAAATGTTTAGAAAAAATGGGAATTTGAACATCTACAGTACTTTGCAAAAGTTCTAGGCACTAAAAGTAACGTGAGGATGCTGTTAAACATAATGCCATGAATAGTTTTGGGCTGTGTTGGGCAAGGCCGTACGCTACAGGACTCTTTGTTCTTCTTGTTGCTGAAGATGGCTCTTAATAAGTGTGGCTGTTTGTTTTGGGTCATGCTGCAGAGTCAGGTGTGTGATGGATACAAATCTAAACAGGTAAAGTGCCTAGAACGTTTGCACAGTACTGTACATTTCCATGACAACAGGGCAAATTTAATCTGCTGAGGACGATCATGTGATATGATTGAAAGTTCCAGAAGAGCCACTGATGGACCTTGTGGTGAGATCAGTGAAGGTGAAGAATTGATGCGTTCATACATCTCAAGACATGTTAGGGTTGAAAGTCAGTCAGTTTTAATATGACATTTATTCTTGGCCACTGAGTAACTTTGAGTCACTATTCCTTCATTTTAAGATTGAGTACAATAACACTTATTTTCAAATGTCATTCTATGGAAAGTGCATTCACAAATGGAGGCACAAACCAGACAAAACTACAGCATCCAGGCTCTGCAAACCCAATTGAAACAAGTCTAGGGTGTCATTACCGTTTTAACAGATATCTCCACACCTCAAAGAAACATATACAGAAATCTAAATTCCGTCTGTTGTATTTTCCCTGGATCATCCTCTAACATCACTGACTTCATCCTGAGTTGGTTTGAAGTGACACAAAGTGAGTTCAGTGTAAGGAGGAGTTATTGTTGACGACGGTTTCTCCTCACCAGGCCCCATCTTTGGAGGATTTTAGTCACTTACCTCCTGAGCAGAGGAGGAAGCGGCTGCAGCAGAGGATCGACGAACTCAGCAAAGAGCTCCAGAAAGAGATGGATCAGAGGTAGGATGTTTATCAATCATTCCTTACCCAGAGTAACAGGATGTCATTTTGTTTAAATTTTAAATTTAGTTGCTTTGGCCATAACTCATCAGCCTCTGATCACAACACTAACTGCTGGCAGAGATGTCCACCAAGAAAATAAGCAATGTAAAGCTTTGATTCAGCAGAGTTGACTGTCACTGAAGAAACAGAACAATCATGAAAAAACCTGGTTTTAGTCAATACTGTGGCAGGAAAGGCACCATGAAGAAACTGCAGCACAGGGTGGTTATGTTGTTCTTCACTTTTGCGGCCTATGAACTGTTTGTTATCATTTGTCCACTCCGTCAACTCCATTGCATGTTTGTGTGTTTCTGTCAGAGATGCCCTGAACAAGATGAAGGATGTGTATGAGAAAAATCCACAGATGGGAGACCCCAGCAGCCTGCAGCCTAAAATATCAGAGACCATCTGTAACATGGAGAAACTGCGCTCGGAAATCCACAAAAATGAGGTAAAGGGGAGAGAGAGGACAGTTTTTTAGTTTTTGTTTTTCCTGAGGAGTGTTATTTCAGTTATTTCAGTTCTTGATGTATTCAGCTTCTCGCTTGTTGTGCTGGTGATAGCACCACCTCCTGGTCAAATACGTATGTAAAAAGACATTCATTGTGAATTTTAGTTCTGTCAATTAAAATGTATACTTAATATATAATATATATATTGTATATATACATGTAATATTAGTAGAAGTCTCATCTCCTTTTTCTCTGTTGACAGACTTGGTTGTCTGAGGTGGAGGGAAAGCAGAGCTCCAGAGGAGACAGAAGACACAGCGCTGACAACCACCATCACACTCCTCAAGGCAGAGAAAGGTAAAAATATTTCCAAACAAACCCTGTTACACACAGACAGTACAGGATACATACTCTGATAGAAAGAAAAACAGTTGTAACTATATAACATTATGTATCAATGGGGAACCTCTGAGGGAGCTTCAATAATCTCATCACAGAATAATCAACATGATTAAGATATGAAAGGAACATTTTTAGCTTTGTCTTAAAATTGATCAGAGTCGGGGCTTGTCTAGCATCATCTGGGAGGTTATTCCAGGTTTGTGCTGCATGATAACAAAACGCAGCTTTACCATGTTTTGTTCTGACCCTTGGGACGGTCAGTAGGCCAGCCCCAGATGTCCTAAGGGTCCTAGAAGGTTCATATGTCACGAGCATGTCAGAGATATATTTGGGTGCTGAGCCGCAGAGTGATTTATACACAAGCAGCAAGATTTTGAAATCAATTCTCTGAGTGACAGATAGCCAGTGTAAGGATTTTGGAACTGGAGTAATGTGGTCACATTTCCAGTTCCAGTTTTGTAGTATATAATTATTTTGTTAATTACATTCAGTATAACCGTTGTTAAGTAGTTACATCCACATTCAGTTTACCACAAGTGAAATTATGCAGAAGAATGTGAGCTCGTTTTTTTATTTTATTTGCGGGTTGATCTAATTCAGAGTCCTTTTGTCCTTTTGACCTTTCGACGGTGGTTCATCCCATAATATTCCTGCAGACATTCGGTTTTCTTCATGGGAATTATTGTTGAGTCTTACTTTTGTTATTGTATATAACCGAGGAGCAGTGCCATATTTCAGTCCTGCAAACACAAAGCTCACTCCTGCTGCCTGTTTCCCATCAGTCCTGAGGGAAGTTACACAGACGACACCAGTCAGGAGCATCAAACGCCTCACCACCGCTCCAGTCCTCCACAGCCCGGACACCCGAACCCCGACCCTCACGAGTTTGACGATGAATTTGATGACGACGACCCGCTGCCTGTCATCGGACACTGCAAAGCGTTATATTCCTTTGACGGTAAGAACAAACGGCAGAGAACGTCAGGGATCTCCCAGCAGCCTCTGCCTTGAAGGACTCAGAGGATCATTTGTGTGTGTAAAAACAAAAATAGCTTTTTAAAGATACAAGTTATTTTTGCTGTGACAGAAAATCATCTCATCTTGTCTTCAGCCATAGTTTCTAATGAAAACAGTTGAGCCGTGACAGAATCAGACAAACTGTTGCATTTTGGTTTTCTAAGCTAACTAGCCAGGTGGCTAACTTGGCATAGAAACAAATGTTAATGATAGCATGTTGCTACTTACTATAGCTACTAGCCACCAAGTGTTACCAACTGTGAAACATTAGATGTGTGTTACAACAACATGGTGATGGTTGCCTGTAAATGCAGTGTTTGTTTTGACCAGCTGTTTAGATTAGAGGGTATAAAGACGAGTATGATTACATAATCCAAGAGTTTCTACCAAGTATAAATAATAATGAATGATATAAATGATTCAGCGCACCAACATCAAAGCAATATCCACAAATGGGCAGCTGTGGCTCAGGAGTTCAAGCTGATTGTCCTTTAATAGCGAGAGTGGTGGTTTGATCCCCAGCTCCAAGTGTCCAAGAGAGTCAACCCCAAATTGCTCCATACAATCAGACCAGTTTCTGGCATGGTAGCTCACTACCTTTGTTGCATAAATGCAGTCTATTAATCAAATATCTGCCGTAAACTGACTGTGCGTGACTGTGTCTTCAATCTCACTGTGGTATGATCGACTTCTAGGTCAGAACGAGGGGACACTGGTGATGGCAGAAGATGAGGTAATGGTCATTTTTAAACTCAACATTTGCAGTTTAAAGTCCCTGTGTATTGGATTTGGATATTTCTAACTTCTATTGTAATTATTGCAGACAGGAGACAAGATCCTCAACAAATCTAACCAGGCCACACACGATTGATTACATTATTACTTAATTTATCAGTGGACTTGTCTAATTTTTCTACAAATAAAAACTTACATGCTGTAATCATAAAAATTCTAAATGAATGTGAATGTGTTTTAGCTTTGCTGTTGTTAATAAGTTTTGATATTAAACTGACTGAACTATGTTTAGAACTGATGTAATTTAAGTGATGAAAATTCACACTGTTAATAGTTTTAGATTTTGGGAAGTACACTTGTTCCCTTCCTTTCTGAGAGTTAAGAAGATAAGATTGATACCACCTGGCTCTGTGTATGTGGTTAGCGTACAGATATAACAGTGATATCAATCTTCTCATCTAACCCTCAGTAAGAAAGCCCAAAATGTCAGACTCTTTTGATTTCATTGTCATTTAACAACCAGGCTCATTGAAATAAAAAGAAAAACTCCTCTCTCTCTGCTTGCAGGTGTTGTACATCATCGAGCAGGATAAAGGCGATGGCTGGACGAGGGCGAGGAAGCAGAGCGGCGAGGAGGGCTACGTCCCCACCTCCTATGTAGAAATCACCCTGGAGAAAAACAGCAAAGGTGCCGTCACCTACATCTGAAGCTACACTGTCTTCTGTCCTCTTCCTCCATTCCTCTGTCATTCTCTCCATCTCTGCTTTCTGTTCCTCGACGTAACACCACGAAGGAAAAAGACGGCGTCTGATCACCTGCATGGACGTTCATCCGTTTCCCTTCTCTGATTTCCCTCCCATCTCTTTATCCGTCAGTCTGTTTTATTAATCATTCGTCCTCATCCTCCTCTCATGTCTGTGGGACTGTTTCGGAGGTGAGTGTCTGGGCACAAAGACAAATAGGAAAAAAACCTATTTGATGATGTTTGTGTGATGTTTATATTGTATTTGAGGAATTTCTCTGTTTGTGTGAAAGATGTCTCCACTGCTGTTTTGAGCCCACGTCAAGGCTACACCACATCTTGTCGATCAAAGCGTTTTAAGATTGTTTTATGTAATATATTAGAAACATTTTATTTTTATTCCTTTAATTATTGTCGGTTTCCTTTTTAAAACACCTTGATTTTAAGATCTTTGGATTCATGTGTTGACATAATTTCAAGTGAAAGATATTTTGATTTCATCTGTTTTTATTTGTCTTATTGCAGTGTGTGTGTGTGTGTGTGTGTTTGTGTTTGTGTGTGTGTGTGTGTGTGTGTGCGAGTGTGTGTGCGCACGTGTGTATACATGCACTTTTTTTTGTGTTATCTGTGCCATCACACTAAAGGTGGAATTACACTTACTGAGGTGTGTCTGGTGTCTGAATGAAACAGTTAAAGGATAAAAATTCCTCAATGCAGTTTTCTCCAAATGTGGAGAGAGAGTTTTCACATTGGACTTGTTACAACTGATTTTAGTCATTTGATATTGTGTGTCCTCTCACAGCACAGCTGAAAATTTTAAGGATACGGCTGGAGTTATTCTGCATTTTCTTGCCTTCAACAAATCTCATGAAAACACCAAAACCAACAATGTGTTTCTTTGTTTCTCAGAGCTTTCCTCCCCCACCGCTTGACCCTGAAGACATAAATCTTAAAACATAAATCCTAAAAATAGGTCACAATATAGTTTTTTTTTTTTTTTTTTGTTTTTTTTTTTAAGTGACATAATTTCTTAAAATAGCTGGTGACTTTAGTTTTTAGAAAACATAACAAAAACTGTAGTAAATAGTGCTTTTGTTGGGGATTGTTTTCAGCTGCAGTCAATACACATTTGATACTCTACTGCAGTAAAGGGCAACGTTTTTGGCTTGTGACCTGTAAATAAACTCCCAGTTTGCTTGTATCGTCTTCCCAACCAGGTTTAGATGAAACTCCGCCCACTCCAGTATGGGTTCGGTCATTGTGGGCGTGGTTTCATCTAAACTGGGATGGGAAAATGATGGATGCTCTCAGGTTGGAAACCAGTGCTCTAGTGAGTACATACAGCAGCAGGATGGGTTATGTAGGATTAAGTCAAATAAAACTACACTGCCCATAGTAATGAAGAAACATGACGAACAGTGCAACGGTGCAGCTAATTAATGTGTTTTTAAAAACGATTGCATTACAGGTACACCAGGCTTTAGATAAACAGGTAATACTTGTTGGTGGGATCAGTACATTGTTGGTTATGGTCTTTGCAAGACATTTGTTAACAATAAAAAATAAAAAAAATAAAAAAAAGAGAATATCATGAGCCTTACCCTTTAACAACAAACATGAGAAATCTCTACTATAAAATTACACCCAGCAGTTCAAAGCCTGGTTTGAAACGGCTGTAAAAATAAGGAAGTGACAACGTCCAGTATGAAAATGGCTTCAGTTCAGTTGATGGAAGAAATTTTACAGGATTATTTTCATAATTCTCACTGACAGATTATGTATTTTATGTTATCATGCAGGCATACCGATAGTTCTTGGTGAATGTTTGAGTCACTGATTAAAAACAGTTCTGATGGTTAGAGTTTCCATTGACTTCCCTTGTGATATAAATCTGTAGTGCAGCTGTTTCACAGTCACTGTGCCTGCTGAACATCATGTCATGTTTGAAGGCCAACACCTTACAGTACAAACAGGGGCGTAGCATCATGGCACCCGAATACTGAGTGACTATACAGAGCAACTGGCGGCAGGCACTACCGTTTATTGAATGGCTTCATCATGGTATCAGTTCTTTCACAATAAAAGCGGAGGCTGCCAGATGTACAAACACAGTAGCAGATCATGAACAGTCAAAACTGAAACTTCGGTTTGGGGTCGGTTCAGTTTCACTTCATTCACAACAAGCTGAACTTTTGCCACATTCAGACAGAAATCATTGTAATGGATATAATGGTTGCCCAGTTTAGCATTTATAAGCAGTTTATAAACATTTAATAAATGGTTTATAACACTATAATGGAATAGTAAGCAGATGTGTTTATAAATGTATTGTAAACATCTGTAACTCATCTTATGGATACCTGTAAGTGGAGGCTGCTGTGAAAATGGAATGAATGATATTAATATAATATTACACATAGCTTCAGGAGAATTTATAGTCAGTCAATAAACTCTTAAAGTATCCGTATATTTGCTTACAACTACATTATAGTATTTTTTTAAAATGTTAATATACTGCTAATAAATGATAAAAAAGTAAAGTGTTAGTAGACATGATTTCTTTAGCTACAGCAGTGTTTCTCAGTCTGTTATTTGGTCTGAAGCAGAGTGGACTATCTTGACAGCTGTTTGATGGATTTCAATGAAATGATAGTATGTTGGTACGAGGATTGTCATGGCAGCTCTGACTCCTAGTGACAGACAGAATCTGCAGGACACTTAAAATGTTTTGGGTTTTTTTCTTCCACTTTACACTTTGTGAATCAGTTAAGTAGAGAGTGAATAGTCCCCATTTTAGCAGATAGAAACCCTGAGGTCGTCTCTTTAAGACCTAAACACAGTAAACTGGCAGTCGGTGCCTATGAGCATTTTTATTCTGTGACCTCCTTAACTTCAATCATGTCTTCTTTTTTTTGTGGGTGCACCTTGTGTGTGTGTCTTGGTGTATGTGTTTTAGTAACTGGCTCTCTCCTCTATGTGATCGCAGGTTCCTGAGGGCTGCAGGGTGGCCAGGCGATTTGATTGGCTGGTGGAGGGCTCACGCTGATTGCTGATTATTGGTGGTGGGGGTGCCAGAGAAAGAGAGAGAGAGTGGGGGAAAGGGAGAGGTAGAGAGGGAAACAGAGGTGAAGTGGGCTGGGAGGCAGGTTTGCATGTCTGCATGCTCACATATCCATGATCAGCAAAGCATTTTGGGGAACTAGAGGAAGAAGGGAGTGTCATACTATACGTAGAGGAGATGATCCCAAAACCATAAACAGGCAGTAATATAATTAATATCTTAAAGTAGGATCCTAACTGGTACCCACAGGAGAAATCCCACTCCGAACTTTAGGTTTCTGTCTTAAAAGCAGCAGAACATGAAACTGAGAACACCTTTCAGAGCGGGAAGTGACAACTGCAACAACTTCAGCTAAACATACACTCAGTTTCCCTTTTATTTGGTACACCTAAGTTAAACAAATAAAACAGTCATGCAATAAGGCGTACCTTCATGACAGTTAGAATCAAACATAAACTTTTTGTGGAGAGATGTTGACTCAACTTTTAAGATCATTGCGAAGCTGCAGTTTGTTGTGCTGACAGGTGTTTCTAATATTTTGTCCACCCCATTTATATCAATGAGGGTAGGCTAAATAACAGAACACCGACAAAGGTAGAAAAACGGGAAGGACAGGATGTAATTCCCTCATTTGATGTCTTGCGCTTATCAAGTACCAATTTGGCAAAGAGCAGAATCTATCTGGTTGATTTATTTTGACATGTAAATTTTTTTTTTTTTTTCATGAAATAGACACGTACAATTTCAAAGAATACATCTGTGTTAAATGTGCGGAACTAAAAATCAAAGTAAAAGCAGTCAAATACACAACAGAACAAGCAGAACCAAATCTACTTAAAGCTACAGATAATCACAATTTACTCGCTGTCGTCCATTGTTCCTGAAATTGAAATATTTCTAGTTTTATTTGAATCTTGGTAATTTAATGTTGACTAAATATGTAACATCATTGAGACTGTCCAATGTATAATCCTCCATAATGATCGTACAGTTGAATCAGCACCTCTCTGACACATTTTCAACAAAAGCTGAACATTATAAACGTCATGAAGGAGGGTTTATTGCAGAGCTTTTGTATTAGTATTAGCAGTGTGTACCTAATAAACTGCCAACAGAGTGTATACTACATACTTTTTTTTTTTGCATCCAGCAACAACAAATACATTTCTTCCACATTCCCTCTTCTCTGCTGCTGCTGTGTTATGAAAATGACCACGAGCAGCAACCTGCACCTTCCCAGCCTGTAATGGCCTGAAGAGGTGGGCCTTCTCTGATGGCCACACCTCTGACACGGGGTTGTTTCAGAGCGAATCATAGGGGAAAAACCTGAGGATGTACTCTCTGTGGGTTCAAGCGTTCAGTGATTGTGCTCTTTAAGCCACATTCTGAGCAGTGATGTTACAGGAGGTGTTTCTACCTGTTTCTACCACTGATTGGGATGCAGCTAAAAATAAAACACGCACATGTGGTTGAAAGCTTCAGCTCATAGAGGGTAGTCCAGCAGCAGCCTTTCCTCTCTGATTTGATGTGGATTTATCCTTTTAATGACGATCGGTAGCAACCTCATTGATTCACTGTCTGCTTTGTGCTTTAATGGGATAGCTTGCCTTTTAATAAGTTAGAGTAAGTCTTTTCTCTGTAGGTGCTGGCTGAAGTGTTGGGAGGTTGAAATCTCTCTAAGTGGCTCCAATTGAAGTTTATTTTGTCTTGTCAAATGAACGGGCGCCACCATCCATGAAACAGCATTCTGACAAGAGTTTCTAATCACAAGGTCAGCTTATCTGGTGGAGATGATGGTGATGACATGATATCCCAGCAACTCTGTCCACCGAGGAAGGTCATTAATGTGGCTGAAAGCTTCAGAAACACCAAGCAAGTTGACCTTGTGATGAGACCTCTGTCAAAATTTCAAGCTCATGAGCGAACCTGTCGTCTGACGTCTTCAAACTGTTGGTTTGCTTTTTAGTGAGGATTTCTAAATTCTCACTGGCCAGAAATTATTAGTAAAATTTCTTCCACTTGCCATATTTCCTAAACCAGTCTCCCCGACACATAAACTCCCCCCATACTTTTAGTCCAGCTCCTGGTGAGAGAAAACCAGTTCATTTTAAAATTCAGAACATCAGGGTTTAGTAACTTTCAGGCTCAGGTATGCTTACAGTATTTGCTGCCACTAACATTATCAGTGCTGCGCTGCTCCAACTCACTCCTGTTGTTGTCGTCGTCGTCGTCGTCATCATCATTATTATGTGTTCTGTTGGTGATGTCTGCCTGCCTGAGCCACTCTGCTCCTCATGCCTGCCCTCACCCTCATACAGTCGCATGTTTTTAATGTGTCGTTATTGTCTCCCAAACATGATCAGGTGACTTTTACTGCAACTTTGTAAGTGTGTGTTCCGCTATCTTCGGCTGTATGCTTTATGTTGAATGCCATACCATCATGATTTTTCATGGACTTTCAGCATGAGTATGATTTATTTGTTTGTTTAATGTCTCCCAAACAGCAGCTGGGTAAAATCAGAGCTACTCATTAGGCAGATAGCAGGACTATCAGGTGAAAACAGGACCTCTCTTCCCCTGTCCTCCTTTCTTTTTCTTTTACTTTCCCCACCTTTCCTCTTCTCTCCCTTGGTTGTAATTCCGCCAGTCGACCAGCAGATGGCAGCCTTTCTTCAGCAAACCACCGCTCAGCTCGAGCTGGACTGGGCCTCTTTTATCAACATCAAACAAATAAGAGGAGCTCTGGTGCCGTTGCGGTCAGACTCTGCCTTAAAACTTCATGTTATATTACTGTGGAGGGGAGTCTTCCACAGATACATATCTGGATGTGTCTGCTCTTCAGCCTCAATATGTCTCCCATCAGCCACCTGGGCTCACCCCTCGCATCTGTGGAGGACTCAACTGCATCTCCATGAAAAGTTTTTTTTTTTCCCCCATTTAATCAGTCGTATTTGTGAATGTGACGACACACACGCATGTATCAACGTGTACGCACAGATATGGAAAGCCAAAAACGTCACAATTTTTTCGTGTTTTGCTTTCCGTACACATTTACATGTACATGTGTGTACACGTGTTACATGCGTGACGTTAGTTTTTACCATTGAATGATTTGTACATATTAACATCTCTTATGTCATGCTGAATGTGTTTCCATGGTGACTGTTTTTAGGTTTGTCTGATTGACACTCTTCATGATAGACAACAAGGTTTGAATTGAACCGATGCACTTTGCCCTTAAGTACTACAGCATTTGAATCTGATTAAATGAACAAGTGAATAAATGAATGAACGAATGACTGAAGGTCTGTGTTGTCTGCTGAGAGAGGTGTGATCTTTTTATGAATGACCACTGTGTAGCAGCGAGAAACAAAAACGGCTCTAGTAACTTTCTCTTCTCAAATGGTTTTTATACCCTTTTTTTGTAACACTTGCTGAGCAATGACCACAACTTCTTTTGCATGATTTTTCTAGATTCTTTGAATTCATTTCGTCTCTCTGGCGATTATTTTTTAACCACTTGCTGTATCTGGTCAACAGGCTAACAAAATGACACGTCTCACACTTTCTCTTGATGCTATTTAAGACAATAAATGCCACTAACAACACTCAGTCAAGGTAATCTGTGCAGCAAGTGGCCACGCCTTCACTGTAATCTGTGTTTCTTCGATGAAGCTGTGAAATGTACAGAATGATGCTGTAGATGTTGTTACTTGAACTTTTCCCTCCACACTACTCCACATTTCCTCCACTGTCTGGGACAAATTTGTAATGGACATTTAAAGGGGTGTTTCAGTGATTTTTAGTATTTCACCAAACAAAAAACGGTCAAAATAGAAGCAGCAGAGGCCGAGATGTCCTCTCTTTACACCCTAATATGGCTCAAACTCCAAAAATGTTGCATCCTTCATTTCACATAATGCTGCATAACAGTGTCTTTAATTACATCCTCCTTGCTTGGTAAATGCCCATGTCTTTTAAAGCTCCTTCAGAGCCACAGAAGGTATTATACAATGGTTTTCACTGGCTGAGTAGCACATAACCCTGATGAGTACACTGTATTTTCATGTGTAAAATTTGGTGGAGCACCCCTTTAAGAGTCCTTGTCCGCTGGTTTGGATTTAAGATGTTTGTGATGCAAAATGGCGCCTGATGATGATGATGTCTTGTAAACAAGTACAAAGATCCATCAATGCTTTTTGTTTCATGTATGTATCTGATGTCATGTAGGGCTCCAACTAACAATTATTTTCATTATTAATTAATCGATATATCATTGTCATTGTCTATACATCAGAAAAATTGTGAAAAATACCCGCTATAATTTTCCAGAGCCTGGGGTGACAATGTTCAGTTTACTTTCGTATATAACAAATACAAAAATATAAACATCACATCCTCACATGTAAGAAGCTGGAACCAGCAAACATTTGGCACCCTTGCCTATAAAACAACAAATGAAGTATTCAGTTATCGAAACGGGTGCTGATTAATTTCTTAATTTTCTGACAATCGACTAACTGATTAATCGACTGATCGTTGCAGCTCTCATGTCTGGTTTTCCAAACAGGGACAAGCTGATTCCCTGAAACTGAGCTGAAAGCACATGTTTGTTGGAAACTAAGATATAAAATGTGTGCAGTCAAGTGTTACATAAAAGATTTTCTATTTGTTCCAGTAGTAATGCGGTCATACTGTTAAATCTCATTGAAGCAATTAGGGCTGCAACTATTTATTTTTCATTATTGATTTATTTTGATCGATTAGTCAATGAAATAGCAAATAATGCCTATCGAAACTTTTAGGAGCCCAAGGGGATGTCTTCCAGTTGCTAGTTTTGTTCTATAAACAGTCAAAAACCCAAAGATGTTCAATTAACAGTGATATGAAGAGAGAGGAAAAACAGCGAATCATTGCGTTTGAGAAGCTGGAACAAGTGAATGTTTGGCAGCGATTAACTTATTATCAGAAAGTAGATAAACAGAAATTTTTTCAGTACTAAAACCATAACCCTGCTTATTATTGTAATTGTAAATCATCCTCTGATGGTGACGTGAGGATAAACAGGAGGATTTGCGTGAGTGAGTGTTTATGTTGCTTTTTACAGGGCATTTTTTAAACTCATAGTGTATCACGTAAATTCTTAAAGAGACAGTATGCTCTAAATTTGACATTTTCCTCTAAAGATTTCTTTAAGTTGGCCTGTTTGGAGTGTACTGCCCCTTTAATCAAAGCTGCATGAAGTCATTGGGGATACAGCAGCTTTGAAATGAACAAAATATACCAAAAGTCCTGTTAATTATTTTTACCGTTAATATACCTATAGAAACTGTGAGCTGCGTAGTATAATAGCCACTGTGCTGTAATCTTGAATATTATGCAAAAATACATAAAAACAAATCAGCTTTGAGATGCTAAATATGATCAAATTTGCAGTTAATTCATGTACAAACAGTTCTTTACTGAAACCCGCCAAGCGACTGTGAGCGCGCTGCTGTTCATCATCCAGCAAAAAACCAGACGTGTTCTTCTTTACATTCCTCCTCTTTTTAAACTCTGATCGTCACGTGTGTCCTGTGGAAACTTTGTACCCCTGACAACCATGAAGATATACTTTATATACCTTCTTGTTTTTCATCAGCATCAACACAAATATTCACAGTTAATAAAATCAGCAGCAGGTACAAGGTGCTTTAGCAGGATATTAACATGTCAAATCCATGTAAATCTGTGTGTTTTTACCATGTTGTATATGTTTTAATAACCAATGGCAGTACTTTTCAATATTGTTGTGCACATCTTTTTACTTTGAATGTTGTCAGACACTTTGTGAACAAAATGTTTTTTTTTTTCTTCTTCTTCTTCCAAGATATTGTTCTAATAAAATAAGCAGCAATGAAAAGTTGATTTGTTTCTGTGGCGTTTCGTCGATGAAATCACCTTAACAGTAAACTGTGGGCTTTTATTTGTGACTTTTAATTCCTGATTTTGCATGGAAAAATGAATAGTGATGACTTTTACTTCCAAAATGATTCACCAGCAACAGACAGAATCCTTCGCCTCCTGTGGAGGCGGCTGTAAATGTGAAAAAAAACAGTTAATAATTAAAACACGTCTTTGCTACACATGCAAACATTCAGTGCGTTACACAATGAGTTGACGACCACAGATCATACACCACATTTATTCAATCTTACCACCGTAGTTCATAATAATATAAACATTAAATTTCATCAACATCTTTTTTACAGTCAGTCTTCTACAGAAAATATGTACAGTCTATTATTAACATGCTAATGCTTCAAATATGTACAGCTTTAGTCTCTCACATGTTAACATACTTTTTTATGGTTTTATGCACAAAGTAATTTTTTTAATTTGTCAGATTCACACTTCTAGCTACATTTTCACATGTACAGAAAATGGATTTTCTGCCCCTGTGTAAATGTAGCACACAAAAGATTTATTGTCGATCCTCTGTCATCTTCTGATTTGAAGTGAAATGCTTCAAGGAACCTCAATGATAAATATTTATTTATCTTTTTTTGCTTGTTTAACCAGCAACAAACTGATCAGGTTGTTTTTTTGTATCTGAGGTCACACAGATTCAAATGTTTGTGGAAATGCAGCCAAAAGTCTCCAGATGTGAGGAATCAATCATTATATTGTTAAATACACTTATTATCTCTATCAAGACAGTATACACAGATGTTGACTTTTTAAGTATATTTCCTTTTTTAACTGTTCAATTACCTCATTTTATTTTTATGTTTTAATTGGGTCATCGTGACGTCTTTAAACCTGACTCTTACTTACTCGTACTTGTCACAAGACGTTGAGCTATTTTCTTTTTCTCTTTTAGTCTAATGAAAGAAAGAAATTCTCAATTAACTTTCAGAGTAAAAATAAAGCAAGAGGCTGATCAGGATAAGGAGCAAAAATTCCAAATCGGCGTATCACTTTAAGTCTCTGCTCTGTTTTCACAAATATCTCTCATTTCTACTTTCACCATTATCTTTGGATTTCTGTTGCCAACACATTGAGGAAATCTGTGAACTGCAGCTGCTGCGTCTCCTGATCTCACCAAAATCAAGGTGAGTAAAACACATTCATAAACTGATAGTTGTTGATGTTGTTGATGACTTTAATATTATTGAATGAACTAAAAGGATGCTTCTAAACGAGTCTATACACATCACAGTTTCATAAAAGCCTCAAAGTCAAAATGAAATCGATGAAAACACCGGCACCTCCTCTACATCTACGTGTATGAGCATGTTTGGCTGTGAATGAGGAGGAAACCAGTCTTGTGCTCTGGTGAAAGCTTAATCGCAGGAACAAGTTGACATAAGAAAATATGATTTTTGTTGTTGTAGTTTCAGTTTATAAGATGTTGCATCAGATGTTGCCTCTGCGTGGTGCAACACTTGGCAGCTGTTTTTCTTACGTTCTGAAAAGTTGTCATTTTGTAGGTTTACATTCTACTACTGGGCAGTAACAGTTTATTTGTCCATCTATACGTTTGTCATCCTGATTATCTGTACAGTAATTTGGCTCTGCTGATGTTTGCTGTAATCATGACATCTACTGAGTTTTTCCATCATCTGATTTGAGGGTCTGAGGACAGAGGGTGTATGGTTTATAAAGCCTCCTGAGTGTAATTTGAGATTTGTGATATTGGGCTATGTGACCCAAAAAAAAAAAACAGACGGATATTGTGAACTATTAACCTGTTACCAGACACCTGAAGGCCTGTAGGACGACCTTTACAGCGGAGGACCTTTAGTGTTCAGCCACAAGTCTGAACCACTTCTGTTGCAGTGATGTGATCTTGAAAAGCCTTGCACAGGTAGAATCCGGAGACTTAGAGCTTTTAAACAATTTGTCAAGGTTGTGTGAAGAGCGGGTTTGGTACAGACCGCAACGTGCCCGAGGCATCTCACAGGTGGGACGTAGAAGTGAGGTGAGTGTCTGTTTCAAAAAGCGTTAAAGTGGATGTGATTGGCTCTTCTCTGGTTGTTGCTCTCACGGTGTCGGTTTTTGAGTCTTTATGAGTGAAACAGCTGACTTTCTCACAGTTCTGAGTTCAGCGGCTCTTGGGCTACTACAGCTGCAGGAGCTCAGAGTCTGTATGGGCTGTTTGATGCAGTGGCGACAGGTCGTTCTCCCATCACTTTGGGTTTTATTCCGTCTCGTCTTCCCTTCGTCGCCGCTGGTTTCTGATCCTCCTGACGTTGTTTTGCTCACTTTCACAGGGTCCAGGGTGAGTCAGTACGCATGTCGCTGCTCGGAATAAGTCAGATTAAGGTTTGCGTTTTGGGTGGGGGCTCCAGTTTCCGTGACAACGCAGTGAGGATGAGGTTGAATTTGTTGTAGCGATCTGATTGGTTGACTGAAGCACCGCGGCTTCCCCACAGCAGCCGCAGCTGAAAGTCTGTTTTGAACACCTCCAGCAGGTCTTCATCGATCTGAAACCCTGAACACAGAAACACAGATCTACTTTATCACACCAAAAACAAACAAACAAACAAACGAACATTTAACATCTTCTGTTTTTGTTTAATAAGATTATTTTCTCCTTCTTACCTTGCAAGATCTTCTGTGCGCTGGCGGTGTAGCTCTGCGCGTTGTTTGCGACGTCACGTGCAGCCTCCAGGTGGCGCAGCATGATGTCACAGCCGTGGTCGCTGGTCTCCCAGAGCTCCGCCCCTTCGGGTGTGACTGTCGGACGTTCCATCAAAGTGAGGAGCGGCAGCAGGAGGGGGACGCACACCACCGGAGGAGAGGAGGCTGGAGGAGGAGGAGGAGGAGGAGGGAGGTCAGTATATCTCAGTGTGTACAGATGAAAAGTTTGTTTTTAATTTTTTGTTTAAAAATGTAAAATCTTCTATAATATTTATATATAATATTATTATATTATATATCTATTATAAATATATATCATTATTATTATTTTCATAAACCTTATTAGTCAGGAAGAGAACCACTTCATTTTAAAACTGTAAAGATATGTCATTTCATTTATATGGAAGAAGTAACTGTAAGAGGTAAAACTATTGAATTTTAACATTGGTAAACTAACGTTGATTATGACACGACAGTCTGATCTGGCACGGATGATTAAAGAGTCCTTTGCACTCCTAAAACAATGTCAGACTCATGATAGTTTAAAAAATGATCAAAATCAGAGATATCTTTTATATTGTCAGAGGTTGATGCCTACATTACCCACAATAGTTTGGTCAGAGATTTTGGGTGTGCTATTCTAGTAGCAGCTAATAGCCTCGAGCCTCCAGCACAGCTCACTTCTCTCTAACCCTACATGTAGTCTTCAGACGCGACCAACGGTTATTCATCAGACTTCACGCAACGTTTTTCACATATGCAGCCTGACCTGTAAGACCTGTACTACTGTGCTAGACAATGAGCTGAAACTCAGTGTGGGGAGCTGCAGACTCAGGTGATTTCACATTGTCATTCGATCGTGTTATTATAAAAACAGTTATTAAAGCCACTTCAAAAGGATCAGTCGGGTCTTTTCAAGCTGTTTTTAAGGGATGTTTATAGCCACGTGTAGGATTTCATTGTGTAATTGTCGGAAGCAAACGGCTTACCAAATGTCTGGTGCTTCATAACCTCATAAGTTTTTAATCTAAAAAAAAAAAACACAAATCTGAAAGCACATGGATGCAACTCATGATCTTCAGCTTTGAAGATTTTTGGTTGTTTGTGAATTATTTTCTTCTTTCTTTTTATAAAGAAGCTTTTCCAGCCTCCCTGAAAATCAGTTATTATGCTGAAGTGAAGTGGTGTGATCTGTGACAGTGTGTGCTAAGTACCTGTGCCCTCATACAGGTTCTTGTAGAAAGGTTTGAGCGTTTTCTCGTAGCTGATGGCGGTCTGCGTGTAGTTCCTTCGTAGAGTCGTCCATGTTTCCTCCAAACGGCTGATCTGCACGGCACAGAACAGACATCAACAGTCTCAACTTTAGAGAACTTTTTAAAATGTCGCAAGAGAAACAAAGGTCACTGGATCAGTGTGTGTGTGTGTGTGTGTGTTACCTGTGGCAGATCCAGAGCTTTCATCAAGGCCGTGAAAGCGAACAGGTCGCCCACCGTGTCCTTCAGCTCCAACGCGACCAGGATGATGCGATTTAACGTGGACGCCCGCTCCTCCACGCTGCCCGTACATCCCAGAATATCTACGGCAACACCTATCGCCATGGTGTGGTGTCTAGGAGAGACAGAGAGGAGAGGGAGAGGAGGATTATCAACACAATGTCATGTCTGTGTCTGTTTTTGTTTCACTCTGTCAAGTTTCTAATCTGTTCTTTCAGAGCCTAGAGGGGGAATTTGTTTTCATTACAGAACAGCTTCTTCAGTCTGTTGATCACACAGGACTATACAATGAAATCAGCACATGTGAGTCACAACTGACATCATCTCAATGTTCAGGTTAGTGCAGGCTGCTGTATCAGCTTTGGTTAAACCAGTTTCCAACCTTCTCAGCTTGTGACCCCTTAAAATAAATGATGTATAAGCTTTAACAAGACCGTTCAATTTAATCCCTTTCTGCAGTTGCTGGTTTGGACCTATTCCCACCTGATTTCCCTTACCTCTGTTTGATGTTTCATACCTTCTTATCACAAACACTTGTCGGTACCACTTTACAATAAGACGACCCTTATAAAGGATTTATGAATGGTTTATAATTAGGTTATTCATTTGGATGTTAACACTTTATAAATCATAAATAAGCAATTATAACCAAGTTATAACACAGTTTTCATACATTGATGCAGGCTCACTATTTCGCAAGATCAAGTTAATGCTTACTACTCATTAATCTTACAAATGAGTTACTACCATTTATACCTGGTAAAAGGGAACTTTAGTGTAAAGTATGAAACACATCACCATCTATTAATGAGTTACTATGAGTCTCCCTTTTACCAGTTATAAATACAAGTAACGCATTAACTTGATCTTATCTTGCCAAATAGTGACCCTCCATCATTGTATGAAAACTGTGTTATAATTTGGTTATAATTGTTTATTTATAATTTATAAAGTGTTAACAACCAAATGAATAACCTAATTATGAACCATTTATAAATCCTTTACCAGAGTAGTCTTATTGTAAGGTGGTACAGTTTAATCTATACACAAACAGAAAGGTAAAACAACAATTTGTGGGTGTATTAGGAGTTGCATGCTGGGACTACATATCTCTTGATGGTGATGGTAGGTGGATTTTTTTTTAACATTTGGACAGAGCCAGGCTAGCAGTTTCCCCTTGCTTCCAGTTTTTATGCTAAGCTAATTACCTGCAGACTCTACTGTAGCTTCATATATTACCATACGGACGTGTGTGAATGGTATCAACCTTCCCGCCTAACTCCCGGCAAGGAAAGCAATAAGTGTAGTTCCCACAATTTTCAACTTTTCCTTTACATGTTTATTTTTTTAGGGAGAATTTGACATTCTGGAAGAGTGTTACGTGATGGAAAACGTCCACAGTGACCCCACGCTACTCCCGGAGGTGCTACTAAAAAGTGAGGAAGTTATAATTCATCCTGTCCTTGTGCATCTGTGATTAAACATGTGCTTTTGTGTGTATGATGTGTACCTTTCCATTAGGTCCAATCTCAGCTGTCGACCGTGCGGCAGCGTCACCAGCTCCAGACCGGAGGACACGCCCATCTGACCTTTAAGATCTGGAGTCACTCCCAGTATCCTCGCAACCTGGAGAGCAAATCGGTTTTACAAGGGGCTGTCAATTAACATTTAGTCTCCTTTATCTTCCTCTCTTAATATGTGTGTCTGGTGTGTGCGTGTGTGAGGTGTAACAGCTTGTTTGGTCGTAGGTTGTTTTCTCCTGCGTCATGAGGATCATTTTATTGCAGCAGTAACATCAGCTGCAGGACAGAAATCTAATTTTCGGTCTCACTCACACAGAGGATGTGTGTGTAATAGCAGCAGTAAACATGTTTACCTCCAAACCGGACAGTGTAAATCTGTCTGGTGTGAGTTGAATTTTCTCTGCACCTGCGTGCGTGACTGTCTGAAATTTAAATTCGGTAACCAGTTTAAATGAGGCAACCTTTTAAGTTGTGACTAATGGCTGTGTTAATGATAATCAAATCATTTAGAAACACGTTATAAACCAGTTATAGGCAGTTAATGAGAACAACTTTTGGGTTGCCAGGTTGTGAAAGGAGGACCTCTCTGATCAGCTGTTTGACCACTTACCTTTAATAATATTCCCATTAATTGTTCAGCTCTATTCTGTACGAAGGTTTTTTGATCTACAACTGCAGATTTGATGGTTCATTAGAAAGTCAGAAATCCATGATTATTGATGAATGATTACCAACATTTATAAATCAACCACTTCATTTTATATATTCATTTTATGTACAAAACAGCCTACATTGCATTTTATACTGTTATTGTATTATATAGTATTTCTATTTATCTTATTTATTTTTATTCTGTTTATAGTCCTATTTTATTTCTTATTACATTTTCTCCTTGTGCCACTATGTCAAATTTAGAATTTCCTCTATGGGGGATCAATAAAGGTACATCTTATCTTATCATTATGAAACAGAAAAGAAACACCAGCCAAAGATATTTTTCACATCCTTATAAACGTCTCATAACAGATCTATAAAGCATTAATTAACTATTTATTAACCATTAAAAATCTATTGGTTTTTAAATCTGATAAAGTGTGCCTGTTCAGGGCTGTGTATATTTATCCGTTTCTACTTGTGTGTTCATTTATATTTATATATTATTGTATATATTGTGTATTAGTTTCATTTAACTAGTATATTGTGTATCTACCAAAATGTTTCATTTAACATAATACAGATATGTGACACTGGAAATTTGTCTAACAAAAACAATGTGTGTTTACATACATGTCTTTCTATGGTTGTGTGGACAATTTCATCATTGTGAAAACTTTCCAAAATGTCCTCATGATGCTTTAGAGAGTTAAGACTTTGTTTCAGGTCTCACATTACAATTAGTTTTAGGTTAGAGTTGGCGTCATTTCGTTGTGATGGTTAGAGTAAGGAGTGAGGGAATGCATTATGTGTGTGTGTTTGTGTGTGTACCTGGCAGTCGGCTATCAGCAGGTGTCTGGCTATACTGTGGTGATTGTGGCTGAGCAGCAGCTCCTTCGCTCTCTTCAGCACCACCATCTCCAGTGGTTTGTTTTCCGGCGGCAGAAGACGGGATCCGAACTCTGCCGGTCTGAACGTCGACTCCGTCTCTATGACCGGCCGCTGGAAACTGCTCCTCTCTTTAGCCTTCCTCTTATTCTCCTTCTCTTCCTCCTCCCTCCCTGCGTCGTCCTCCTCTTCCTCGCTGGTGTTTTCTAAGGCTGCGATGGCGTGATGGTAGGAGCTTCTGTCCAGCCCTCTCCGTCCCCCGGCCTCATTCTCCTCCCCTTCCTCCTCTCTCCCTCCCTGACCCTCCCTCCTCAGTCTCTCCACGTAGCTGCAGAGCGGATGCTGAAGTTTGAGGGCGTTGTCTGTGATGGAGCTTGGTGAGTTTGGTTCCTCCCACTCCAGTGGGCTGCAGGACCTCAGCTCTGCGGGGCTCGCCTGCAGCCGTTCAGTCCATCCTGTTATTGCCTCTGAATCCGGATACTGAACCAGTTCGGGAGGTGAACCTACAGAGCCGGAGGAGTCTGCTGGGAGGAGCTGATGATGAAACTTCAGGGGCTTCACTGGAGGAACAGGAGGGCCTGTGGTGACTGTGGAACAATAATCACATACATCTTATTAAAATCTCAGCAAAGATCGAATTCCTTTGCATTTATTCATTGGTTTATTTAAGTAGGAGAGTGACATCGATATAAAAGTGTTGTGAAAATATATCTGTACCCCCTGGATAGATATCACACTAATATAGTACAAACAAATAATAATAATATTACAGTGACAATAAAACTGTTACTAAAACAGGAAGTACAGGTAAAGTAATTCAGGGCAATTTTAAAAAGTTAATATTAGTAAGGTCAGTATGTACCAGCCCAGGCAACATTATGCAGCATTACAAAGCTGAGCTAATGTTCCCGCAGCTTGCACTGACACTTGAGTTTAGCAAAAAGCAGCTTTAATGGATCAGTAGATTTACAGAAGATTAATCAGGTAATAGATTATTCATTTTTCAGTCATTTTTCCAACAACAAAGCTAAATATTCTTTGATTTCACTAATTCCAAAATTTGATGTTTTTTTAATATTTATATAATATAGATAATATATTTATATATACATATATATATATATATATACATACATATATATACATATATATATACATATATATATATATATATGATCAGAAATGACAGAAATTTTAAGGGATTTTGACAGTTGGTTGAATCAAACAAATCATCTGAATACATTCCAATACATCATTATAACAACCATTAATCATTATTTTATAAACAAAACAAACAATTGTGAAAGTCAGCAGATTATTTGATAATGGAAATAATGATTATTTGCAGCCCTAACCAAAATGAAAATAAGACATATCAGTTTGGATTAATTTAAATACCTTGGCGTAGTGATTACTGTACATATAAGATAATATGAGCTCTGTCATCGTATTTTTTTCTTGTTAAGATCTGAAGCAAAGAGCATTGTTTCTCTTTTATTCTTTTCAGGATGATGATAGAAACAACAACAAAAAAAAATCTAAATATAGATCTAAAATATATAGTTTAAGTCTGTGGAAGTGGGTATCTTTCTCTTTTTATAGTACTTACATTTTATATCTTAAAACTACAGGGTTAATAATTGAATGGTGTTTAAAATGCTGCCTGTAAAGGTCTATATGTCACAGAGACAAATAAATAGACTAAACTAAAGAGAACTTAATGTTGACACATTTCATAAAATAAAAAAGTTACCTCCACTCCTCCACACAGAGGAAGGAGTTTCTACACATGTGGAGTCCAGGGGAGGTGCAGCGAAGATGAGGGCGGCGGAGGAGGAGTCTGCGTGGGTGGAGGAGCTGGAGGGGGGAACGAGGGGCTGAAGGCAGGGGGAGCGAGGCAGTCGAGCGAGCGGCACTTTGCTGGGCTTGGGTGGCGGCTTAGGACACAGCTGGCTGTCAGAGCCCCGGATCGCCTGGCCTGGAGACACACAAGCAGAACCGTCGTGATATTATCACACAATATGTTTTATCAGTTACAATTGTTGGTTTATTTTTGGATCCAAATTCAATCAAACAATGTAGTAACCTTGATAACCTGATAAGAAAAGCTTTGTTGTATTTAGTACTTTTTTTTTTTTTTATCTCAGATCTGTGACAGTGTACAGTACACACCACAATCTGTCTTTTATTTACTTTTGACAATAAATGAATCTGAGAAGTACAGTGTGGATAAAAGCACATGGTTAATGTGATTTGTTATTCGCATGCAAACAATGGCAGGAGCACATAAGTAGACTAAAACCTAAGTGACTGAGTAACTTTAAGAGCGCCACAGGGTTTTTTTTATTTTTTTAGTGGTCCTCGGCAGAACAGCTTTATTTTTAGCCTGATAATCAGACTGAATTGCCATTCAGTTGCACTTCATTTATCCAGATATGACTCAAACAAATCAAGAGATGAGTGTGACGATTCAGTCTGGAGGTCTGGAACCAGGCTACTTTATTTTATCCTCGACTCAGGTGGTTACCAGCGGTGACGTCTGTGTTTTCTGTCTCACAACAGAGAGACAAGCCGTTTCTTTCTGTTCACTGTATGAAAAGTGTCTATTTCAAGAAAAAGATTTGACAGCGATTGTGCTCTATACATTCAGTATTTTGCACCAGCTATACTATACTGTAACTGTACTGAATGTGTGGGGGCTAGTTTAATATTGTATACCACTAAACACAATAAAGCCGTTACAATAGGGCGACATGATTTGGCTACACAATATATTGAACTAGATCCTACTGACCTGCCAGAGGCTCTGCTGATCTCCGTGGGAAGGAGGGGCTCAGTGCCGGCTCACTGCCCGTCCGAAACACTGGAGACTTGGGGTTAGGGCTGGCGAGGAGCGGGTCAGGAGGCTGCTGGGACTGGGGTTTGGATCCTGGAGGACGAGAGGAGAGAAAACAATGAGGAGAAATGACCGGGGCAGAAAATTGAGAGGACGAGTGAAGGTGGTTACAGAAAGAAGAGTTACAGAATAAAAGAAAAGAGGTGAGTAACTCAAAAGAGAAGAAATGATAGATAGATAGATAGATTTTTGATTGATTTTTTTTAGATAGATATTTGTCTTTTATTACATTTTGTTTTATTCTTGTGTGTTTTTTTTCTTGCCTGTGCTTATCTTTGCTTGTTGTCCTTGTTTTGGTCGTATGTCACATACACCTTTCTATACATTGCTCTTGGATGCTCTCAAGATGTGTGTCCTTGTATAAACAAACTTGGACGATAAAGCTGACCCTGATTCAGATTCTGAATGGCCACATTTTAAAAATGGGCTGAAAAGCCTGACATTATAGAGATAGGTGGGGCGTGGTGAATCTTACATAACATAAAAAATGTAACACAAATACACTACATGTGCGAAGAATGAAAAGAGAGAACACTGTGTGAAGTGGGTTATGAATTACAGATTTGGAAAGCTATAAAACTTGTTGGACACAGCCCCAGCACTCTTTTCTGATGTGGGCATGGGACGCATGATCCGACGAGCACTTTGTCTGTAGTACACAAAGACAATTTTTACTTACCAAGAGGCAAGAAGCTCTCTGATTGGTGCGCCTTGAGTGGGCGTCGCCTCTCCTGCACCTGATTGAGACTTGCCGGTTGGCTGCCGCAGCGATCCTTCAACCTGAGTGGAAGCAAATGTTGGAAACAAATATCAAATGAACGTATTCACAAACGTATAAACATACTTTAAGGGGATATGAATAAAACCTATTTTGAATATTAATCAAAAGCTGAACACTGTCAGAATAAAACTATACATACTAATACACCCCTCTTTTCTTCTCTGTCTCTGTGTTCTGTTCTTCTCTGGACCGTATATTTATCTTTTCCTGGCTCCTGCTCTGTCTCTTCACTCAGACAGACATGGCCCCCGTACATTATGCTCCATGTATTCCTATACAGCGTGAAATTACACACTTCTGTTCCTTTCAGCAGAAAGGTTGTTACACCATGTCTTTATTTATAGAGGATTTATGAGACTTATGGAACATGTCGTATATACAACCTACTGCCTGGATGATGAATGTAAAGCTGGAGGCCGTGAGTTAAAAGCTTAAAAGCGGGAAGGGATTTAAAGGCTTGATTTAAGTCTTTCAGAGAGAGTGTAAGAGAAAGGGAAACAAAGAGGGAGAATGACTGAGTAAAGGTGAGTCTCCATTATTTAAGTTTAGCAGACAGCATGTTATTTGTTCTGTAGCCCACTACCCACTTTAAGTAATAGGCTTGTGGTGCTTGGAGCTAAAAACAGTCTTTACCACAATGTGAAAAATATTCCATTACAAGTAAAATGTTCATTCAAAAGCTTACTTCAGTAAAATTACAAAAGCATTTTCAGCATAATGTATTTAAAGTAGCAAAAGTAAAAGAACTCATTATGCAGAAAAAAAGGGCTCCTTTGATTGTGTTGCATTATACATACATATATACACTTATTACTGATGCAGTAAAGTGTAAGTAGGATTTCACACTTGTACTGTTGGGCAGTTTAATCTGTGCAACAGGAAAATAAATTTCTATTTTATTTATCATTTTCTCAAAACAGGTGAAAACAAATCTGTCAGTGCAGGCCAGACCGTAGCTTCAAAAAAGACACACAAGCACAACTAATATGACGAATTAAACTGGTTTATAAAATATTTGACACTGCATTAAAATAGGCTGGAATATTCTTACTGCACTGTCAGAAAATAAGATTTGGAGGATTCAATTACTAACTAAAAGTATTCGATAAGATGGAGACTTTGTTGAATGAACAACGTCTTTATTTTAGAAGCAGATCATATGTTTTTCCTATGAACAACCTTATGGTGCAAAGTTACTATAGTTGAAAAATGTAGTGCAGTAAAAAGTGCAATAAATGGGTTTGAAATGTAGTGAAGTAGAAATATAAAGCAGCGTGAAATGATAACACTCAAGTACAAATCCCTCACAGTTGTGCGTAAGTAAAGCACTGAAGTAAATGCACTTTCCACCACTGATTAACGGATGTGTTTGTGTGGGTTTCTAGGAGCAGTTGTGTACCAACCTGAGGTGGGTGCCTCGGCCCATGCCGTTGTCCTGGCAGTGGGTGCTGTCTTGCACGGTGTGTGTGTTGTCGTGCGTGTGTCCGTTGGTAATGTTGAGACTGAGACGTTTCTGACTCCGCCTCTCTTGCGTCATGAGCGCCTCTCGATGGACGCTGGACAATCCGTACTTCTCTTCCAAGCAGCGTAGCGGAAGGCCTCTGTTGATCGGCTGGAAGATAATGGCTCCCACCACCTTCACACATAAACACAGAAGAAGAGATAAGACAAACGGCAGTAGATGCAACATGTTTTCTCCATCAAACACAGAGGCAGTGAAAGTGAACAGAAAACCGCTATTCTTGCTGAGTTAGGGTATAAATGAATGTTAGCTGGGGAGGAATGCAAGAATTTATCATTTTATCCAAACATGTTCCTTCCAGAGTCTGATGTTCATGACGATTAGGGAATATTTCTTATGAAGACACACAAAAAGTTATGTTAAAAGAGTGATGTTAGCGACAAGCAATAGTTCAACAGTATCAATTAACATGAAAAAATGTACTTCTATATGTTACTGACGGGAGAAAGACTATTCTGCAATTAAAAACCGTGATCAAACTCACCTGTGAGACAGGTTTTCTATTGCCGACGTAGTATCTAATGAGAGCAGGGACGCTGTCAAACCCTTCTCTTTCCAGCCGGTACTCCACTCTGGAGTAGGCTTCATTCAACATCACTACCTAAAGAAGAGACGGCACAAATCAAGTTATTTATCATTGAAGGTCTTGCATTTACCATCAACACCACAGCCAGCAACTACAGACAGTGTCTTTTCACATTGTTGTTTTACAGTTTGTATAGATGGTAGTTAAAGTGTAAGGAAGATGGAAATTAGTGATTAGAGAGTCAGCTGTTTGCGACTACACTTAGTCTTACCTTCTTGTTGATTTTAAAGTGCTGGGCGGCGTTTCGCCACTGGCAGGTCAGAACGTAACTTCCTGGGATGGACAGTGAATCACGGATCAAGAAGTCTCCATCACGCTGCACCAGGTTTTCTGCAACCTGAAACAATACAGAGGGTTACATATGGGTGCGCGCGCACACACACACACACACACACACACACACACACACACACACACACACACACATACACACATACGCACACGCAGGCACAAAGTGTTTGTTTACAGTCCAAACATTTAATTAAATCTAATAATGGTAGGCTGTTATACTGTTACCTTCTTTATGAGCTCAGTGCCGGCTGGTCTGCAGCAGTTACGTAAGACATGGAGATATTTAAAGCCTCAACCTATTACAGTATTTATACGGCCAGAAAGTTTTATGTAAAAGATTCACACATTATTTTCGTACCACTGAGCAGTTCAGCTGAGAGCAGTTTAACCAAAGTGGAATTCCCTCTGAAACTGTTTCATGTAAGTAACTGTTCAAGATCCAAGAGGCAAAAACTATCCACTATCTACCAAGAAAAAGTAATTATTAGTGACAAGTTAGAGAAAATGAAAATGATTTCAGGAAAAGTGAATATGTTACGGAGTCTCTCTTATCCCATTAATCATCTCAGAAGCCCTCAGTTTTATCTTAGGAGGTCCCCAAACCCACGGTGGGCTTCACATGGGAAATAAGCTCCTTGATGTATTTGAAAGTCATCTGCACCGCAAGAGAAATGTAGTTTGACAACAAAAGCACCACAAGATGTGGTTGAAAGCTCTGGACATTACTTTCAATATGAATACTGTTTCCAAGGTTAAGAACTGACTTTCATGCTGAAGATGTGTGAATGCATGCAAATAGAGCTGAAACCATTAGCTGATAAATCAGTTTTGATGATTAATAATTTGTCTTTTTTTTTTTTTTTTTTAAGTTTTAGCTTCTCAAATGAGTGAATTTGATGTTTCTTGTGAATATGATGAACTCAGTAGTTTTGGGTTTTGGACTGTTTTGGACTTTTCACTATTTCCTGACCTTTTATTGACAAAACAATTATTATGAATTTAATAACTGAGAAAATAATCAGCAGATTGAATTGATGATGGAAACAACCTTTATATGTAGACCTACATGCAGACATAAAACATTTTACCAGTCTTAATATAAAACTTCTAGTTGTTATAAAACATAAAAAACATAGATATTAGAATTAAAAAAAACAAAACATTCACATAACTGAATCGATACCAATCAAAAACTGGGTAATGGAAGGTTAGGAGGCTCAGAATTCACAGATGTGAGATTTAATTTCACTCAAACATTAGAGAGACTTTTGTGTTTGACAGGTAACAACAAATAAGCTGGAAATGTTTCCTCATCTTTCTATTTACATTTCACTCTTGTTACATTTACTGCCCGTCTTCTCTCATATACAAACACTGGTAGACGCACACAATCCTTCACACACACTTACAGACTTTAATTAAGCAAGTGTTTGTATAGTATATAATGGTAGTTTAGTTTAGCCAAAGGAAGCAGCTTATTAAATATGATTATATCTCAGAGCTGGCTTTCACAGGGGACACACAATCTCTCTCTCTCTCTCACACTCACACACATGCACACACACACACAAAGACACACATATATACACACCATAAAGAAAGAGGCTTTTTATACACTGACCTAATGTTACAACCCCAGCCCTACAGCCGAGGCCACTATTTGAGCTCTAATCTTCCTGTAAGCACTGTGTGTGCAGCATGGCAGTCTAATAATAGGTGATCTGGTTCAACAAGTTTTTAACCAGGCTTTTAAAAGGGAGGGACTCATGACTCAGATTTATGTGTGTGCATGTGTGTGTGTGTGCGTGTGTGTTACCTGTCTGGGAATTGCGCCGTGGTACCATGCATGGCTTCTTGGCTCCTCACAGTTCGTCTTCAGTTCCTCCTCCAGCTCTCTGCGAAGTTTCTCTGAAGGACAGTCCAGAATGAACTGATCTCTGGAGAACTACGATAAAAAAAATAAAAATAAAAAAAATAAATAAACATCAGTGTCTTCATTCCTTCATCCACATCTTTGACCACAGCTAATGTTAAATATTTCCTGTACAGACCATGGATTTTAGCAGTTACAGGAGTAATGGTTTCTTATTCCCTTAAACAAACCGTAATGAGGTCAAAGCTCATAGTCACATACACAACAATAAATGACCACGGAAGATTAAATTAAATATAACATATGGATGCAAGTGGTTGCAGAAAAGCTGGTGGGGGTGTGGAGGGAATATGAGGATGGCTTCGTCACCCCTTGTCAGAATTATCTTGCGACCTCTCAGAGGGTCACGACCCCTGGGAAACTGTGACACTTATCCAAAGTATTAAGTCAAAACTTAGTCACGATACACTTTCAACATACGTATTTTGTCACATATGTATTTCTTAGCACAGTTAATGGAGTGTAATTATTACTATCAATACTTGTATCACTGCTACTACTGCTGCCCCTACCACTGGCCTACTCCTCTGCTTACTCTACAGTTACCACCACCACTACTAGTTGTATTTACAACATACATTTCTTTAGGGGACAAACTTCCAGTTGCTAGAATTTAAATGCAAAGTACACAGTAAATCAAAACACAGCTGCAGTTACGAACAAATGATACGGCAACACAACTAGCGCACAACAGCTTCGTCAATTAAAACATTTTGAGGAACTCAAAATAAACGCTTTCTGAAATGAAAAACCTCTGCATCTTTTCTTTCTTTTTTTTTTTTTACAATCTTGTAAACTTTATAAAACCAAACGGATTGAAGGTCAATCATAACATACAATGGTAGAGGATGCAGACAGACACCTGACAGGTAATGAATTAATTGATCAGTAAGTTTAATCCCAACAGCGCGCCCAGAAAGTTAAAAATTTAAAAAAAAGTGAAGGACAGAAAACTCTTGTAACAAACTGACAGGATGCTGAGTCAGTAAAACCACCTCCACCACAACACACACACACACACACACACACACCCCAAATACACACACACACTTACATGACAGCTGCTGGGTCTCTGCATCGCTCGCTCTCTCTCTTGCTACTTCAAACACACACTTCATAGCAAAGACATGTGAACCCACACACACTTTGGTGTTTGTCTCTATGGTTTAACACACGCACATATCCTTTTTCTCACGCTTTCTCTCAAGCAACACACACACACTATCTGTCCGTCTTGCTGTCTGTCCTCAGTGCTCTGTCTTCATCTATCATGGCTTTCCACCCAGTGACTCCTAATGTGATATCATCATCATGACCCCACCCAACTGCCCGGACCTGCCTCCATACACACCCACACCTGACGTACATAAACACACACTCGAGTGACGCAAACAACCCCCTGAACTTATCACTCCTTTTAACCTGTTCACAGCTGAGTCTCTTAGTTATATGTATGTATGTATTGTCATTTCTTCTGTGGTCACCACACAAAGCACTCTCAGTATCCTGTTGAGAGGTAGAAGTGCTGCAGGCCAAGCAGTACAATAGATTTCTATTTGGATTTAAATAACATACTGTAAATTATTAATGTAAGTAAAAGATTCTTTACTTCTGTTATTCCTTTCTCTAAATATCAGCTTGAAGAAAATGTATACAAAGGGTATGTTCTGCAACCCATACTGTCTGAAGTGCTGGAATACTATCCATTTTAACAGTTTCACATGTTATTCCTGTGCTGCATGAATGTGAACATGCACAACACAATGGGGTTTGTTTTGATCTGTACTTACATTGGCTGTGTGCCATGAAAAACAAAACAAAAAAAAAAAAGGTTAATGGTTAATCACTGATCTTTTGTGTGTGCGTGCATGTGCGTGTGTGTGTGCGTGCGTGTGTGTGCTTGTGTGTGTGTTTGTGTATGGCATCCAGTATCAAGTTAGACAGTTCACTCTTACTCAGTCCTCAGTTACTCAGTTCACATGTCAAGCAAGATTAATGTCAGTAGTTTGTGTGTCATCATCCTATTTATCCACTTGAAGGGCGTTTTCACACCTGAGCTTTTTTTGCTCTGGTCCGATTCGGTTGACGAGTTGGTGAACTCGTAACGTTTCCCCCTCGGTTCGGTTTGCTTTCACACGGAGAAAAATCCAAGTGAACCAAAATGCATCACTACAAACCAGGTGAGAACGTTCCCTCCTCTCATTGGTCAGATTTGTCTGGCTGGAGCAGGACAGGAAACACAGGAAGAAGGTTGCGGGAACCGTCTAGCTCAAACTTGTGAGTTCACCTGCTAGTCGGGTCGGATCGAGTTCAGAACGCTTTCACGCTAAAAACGATCGATCTCACTGAGGATCAACATTTTATAGAGGTTTTAACCAAAAAGACATTTTTTCAGACATTTTTTTTACTGTTAGTTGACAGACTAAACCAGTGAAATAGAAGTGAGGAAAGAAAGAGGACCCTGCTCTGTTTCTGCTGGATGTGAAGTTTGAACAGAGGCTCCCAGCCTTTTTGGCTTGTGACCCCTTAAGATGATGCAATGTCTCTTTTAGACCCCTCCTGTCTACCAGTTAAGACTAGGGGTCAAAGGGAATTATTGACCCATGCACATGAAATTGGAAATATGTCTCTGAGCGTCCCCATGAAACTGAAACCTTGTGGATCCTTTCATCTCTATTCTACTTGTTCTCTCGCTCTCTCACACTCTCTCTCTCTCTCTCTGTGGTTTTTCTACCTCTCTTTTTCTTCCATGTCTCTCTCTCTCTAAAGTCATTAGAATAGACCCCTCTGCCCTCAGTCTCCATGTCTCCATGTATGATGGGAAATCAACCTATCCTATTACAGCTTCTACACAGAAAACAAAGGAACAGGTCGCAACAAGATTGGTGTCATAATGCACCTGCACTAATTTTGTTTGTTTCTGTTTTTGAAGCAGGGACACCGAGCACTGTGCCATGACTTGTGTAGTGTGCGTGTTGCTTTACGTGTGCTGGTGCAGCAGTGGAAAGCACTTGGGGCAGTAGAATTGAACTGTCATTTAGTCACATTCTGCTGCTGCATTGATTTCATTGTATTGAATCAGATTCAGTGTACAGTAAAATGGAGAGCCAACTAGTGCGGCCAGACTACATTTTTCAGCTTTTTCTTTTTTTTTTTTTTTAAATCAATAAATAAATAGAATGTGAAAATCTGAACTAAATGATCATTTGCAGCGGAAACATTCTGTTGTTTAAACATTGTTTCTTTTTTTTTCCATTAATTTCCTCAACAGCTGACTTTGCAGTGACCTGATGGTCTGTGTATCATCTGTTCATTTATTTCCTTCAACTTCGAAATAGGAATACAAAAACAAAGTCTTCCATTTTTTGTGATTATGAAAAAATTCAAAATGGCTTTTGTTTTCATCGAATAAATAAGAAAACCAAAGCCTTAGTTTTATTTCTGATTTGCTCATACACATGACCCTACTAGAATAAAGTCCTCTTTTCAGCAGAAAACAGTTCAGCGAGTAAGAACATATGTAAATCCCTACATGTCCACAGATTCCATTGGTGCATACCTTATTTTCCCAAATGTCACTGTGGCAGGTTGATCACAGCAAACCAGCTGAAGCAACTTGAAAGCTTCACTGAAACCTTTAAGATTAATCTTACGACATAGAGTCCACAGTAAACCTCTCATCTAGTTACCTAGTTATCTTAGAAAATGAGAAGATCTAGATGTTGCGTCTCTTATTCTGTGTTGCACATCTGTTAAAAGCAGCACGTTACACAGCATGCTTTTCCTGTTGTACCGGCATTACTCGAAAAAATTTGGAGTTGAGACGAGCTGAACTGGATGAATGAAAAACGTACTTTAAGAGCGGGTCGCTGTATAAACTTCAGGTTATTTGGCTTGTGTTGGAGCACTATTACTACAGATGCAATCTGAGTTTTTGTTATTCATTACAACCACATCTGGGATAACTACATTCATTACAATAGTCACAATGAAATGTTTCTACATCTGCAGTCACACTGCCGACAGAGCTGATGAATGGTGGAGTGGGAGGGCTGCAGAGAAGAGCGATGCATGGCAGTAAAGTGAAAAGGACGTAGAGTACTGTATATATGAAGGGGTGAATACGGAGGGAGGGAATGGATGGATAATGTATATAAGGAAGGAGTAGCAGAAGAGTGGTGGAGCACAGAAAGATGACAGAGGAGTGAAGGAGGAGGGAGGGAGGAAGAGAGAAGTGATTGGGGGTGCGAGGACTGAGGGAGAGGAGGAATAAGAAGAGATGGAAATGGTGGATGGGAGTGCTTTTTTTTTTTTTTTTTTTTTTTTTACAGGCTGGCCTTTAATAAGACTCTGCAATATGATGTCATCCTCGTTGAGCGGCCGCATTTATACTGTACCAGGCTGTGTGTGTGTGTGTGTGTGTGTGTGTGTGTGTGTGTGGACCACAGTGCAGTGGACTGTTACTGTCTTTCCAACATCTTTTTATTTCCACTCCTCATTCTCTTTTCTCTGGCCTTACAGATTACATAGGTTTATGGCTCCTCCGCCTGTGCCATCAAGTCAGACACCTTCACAAGTGACTGCCTGTAGCGGAGGTGAAATACGTGACGTGGAACCCGATGACGTTGAGCCTCAGTGCACATGAATTGCTCAACTACTTGTTAATCTGTAATCAGTTTCTCTTTGACTGTGATCATCCTGTGATGCTGACTGATACAGAGTGACTCACAAACTGAATGAAACTCAGGGACAAGGTTAGGCTGCTGTGCAACCGCAGGTGGGAAGGGAACCACATAGTGTATATTTACTCCAATAGTGAATTTCAGTGGAATTTAAAGTTATGGGTTCTTCCACGCCAAGTATTTCCATTAGAGGAGAGTTTGTACTGTACTTCTACGCAAACCTTAAAATTAACTTGTTACTTCACCTCATGCTACCACTTTAACCCCCCACATTTGGCATTTATAAGCAGTCGCCTATATAAAGACTCAACAGATGGTTTCTAAGACATTATAAATGTAGTTATAACCAGATATGAGCAGTTAATAACATTTGTTAAAAACTATAACTATAAAATAAATAATAAAATAAATAATAACTATAACTTGTTCTGTGGAGGCCTGTAACTGGAGACTGGTGTATTAACAGAACAGAACTCAGCTGTAAAAACATAAAATATGATATAATTGTTGACAAATATGGAACATTGATCAACACTTACAAATGTCCTTGTATCTACCTATAACTATGCATTGTAAACCATTTATTAAATGATACATACGGCTTATAAATGCTTAATAGAGGGGGTTAAAGTGAAGTGTTACTCACTACATTGTCCTGATGGCTGTATTACATTATACTGTGGCTTGAACTGCACCTAATCCGCTGCTTTCAATGTAATAAATACAAATGCACAGAATCGTTTCATACTGTGGAGGAACATGTAATCAGTCAACTGATAAACTGCACAAATTAAAATCCCTCAGTTAGTTAGATTTGTGAGGCTTTGACCTGACAGCAACAACTGGACACAGGTTTTTACAGGTGTGCTCCACATTTACTCACAGTAATTAAAGGATTTGAGTTCTTCTTCCATCACTCAAAAGTAGCGGAAAGAACCTACGGTATTTCTCAATGGCATCAGACTGCCAACCTTTACATTTCTAAGAAGTGTCTGAAATCAGGACACAAATTAAACCTCACCAATCACTGTCTTTTTTTCTTTTGATTTCAAATTTTATTGCTCATAAATATTTGTCAAAGTAATATTTTTTACACTGTATTGTATGTTGCAAATGTAAATTAGTTATCCTATAGGGGCTGACTGATTCACCAAAGTATTATAGTATTTCCAGTTCTACTGTGTTGCAGCTGCACTATACAACAAGAAAATCAGTATTGTTTAAATGTAATGTAAAACTGTAAACAGTGTACTCAATGATCTGCAGGCACCAGCAAAAATACATACTGTACCTATATATTCATGAATTAATAAATGTATTTATAAATGGTTTATTTAATGAGTGTTTTATGCTGTTTTTGTAAATCCATTTTAAAATCGAATCATGCATTTATGAATTCTTTTCACAATTCTTACTTTTAATGCCTATTAAAATATGAAATTAAGGAAATGCTTTGTTACTTATCCTGTGACATCCCTGGTCCTCCATACATAGAGAGCAAAGATGAATACAATGGGGTGATCTTAGCACAGGACCACCGGGCATGTCAACCACTCTCACCCTCACCTT